GCCGTGGCTTTCACTTTTACTCAAACTGAAGGATTGACGGAAGTGAACTGGACTCTGACAGCACAGGAATTGATCTGTAGTGGTCCAAAATGGGAGATATTTGATGTTGGACCTGTTGTAAGAGTAGCTTCCCGAATGTCACTCCATGGCCGATTTTGTTCTCCTGTCCCTTAATTGATTGTCCGGAAGACATACAAAATTTGAGCACTCAGTCTTTCTTGGAGTGAAGGCGATTTTGCAGCAATTCAAATACTTGGTTGCTGATTTGAACTTTCAGTTAATGTTGTTTTTCCGTGTCCAATTTCTTCCTCTTCCTGACAAGTGTGGTGAATCTATCAGGACAAGGCGAGTTCCTCATTGGGCGGCAAAAACTGCTGCAAATCTGACAATCTTCATCCTCGTCCATCTAATGTTCTTAATAATCTATAATGCCGGATTGGATGAAAATTGACTCGACCGTCATCAATTTTACTGAACTAACGGTAAAGTTGAAATGTCTTTCTGCTGTAGTTGCTTCCTTAGCGTTAACTGAACTTTTGAATTATGCAAATTACTGGCAAACTGGGGTCCACGCCCACCCTTAGGCCCCAATCTCGTTAATGCAATTTTCTCCATTTAATTAGGAGCAAATTAGTCACACGAGTGGGGAGAGAGAGAGAGAGGAATTTGCTTTGCTTCTAAATAATTAATTAACTTATGCATAATGAGGGCTAATTATTTTACACACGCGCCTTGCAGACAGGTGGTTCGATTTTGTTTCAGGGGCCATGCGAAGGCCAGTGCGACCGGACATTCACGCGATCTCATGCCGCGCAAAAACTCTGGCCAAGAAAAATTCTCAATTCACGAAGTTATCTCTCATTCTAGGAGGTCCCTGTCCAGTTAAGGAGTCTCACGATGTCAAGGTCAAAAATGCAAGTGTTCAAGTAAGGGCGTTGTAGGGACGCAGAGTCTGGAGCGGATTAACAGCGATCGCGCCTGAGTGAACCCTGGTTACCGACCTGACGGTGACAATGACGCATCCCCTTTTCGTTGGTTGATCTGTATTCGAAGCCTTTCATCCGTTCACTTATCCATACACTAAAACGCACTTGGCTGGCGTGACGCTAAAAAACGGTCGTGTTTCCCCGGTCGCCTCTTTTTCCACTCTTTTCGGGTTGTAAGGTAGTGCTTAGACCACAAGCCACTGCATTTGGTGACCCCGACAGGTTTTCCTCAAGCAAAGGTTAATTTTAATCAAAATTCTAGTAAATTTCAATCAGAAATCCAACTTTTTCTCGGGCCGATTTTTTAGCTTTCTTGTTGAAATGATTGTATTCACACAATTCATCCGAATTTTGATAAATCACGCCAGGGGAGAGCACCTCCGCGTATCTCATGCAAAAGGAAAGCTGTCCTTAAAATGGGAGCACTTAGCTTAGCAGTAAAACAGCTGTAGCACAGGTGATTCTTTCAGTCCTCTCACCTCTGGTAATGCTATTTTCTCTAATTAATTACGAATTAATTAGTCATCAACTGGATGTCAGTGAATTCGTCCCCATACCCCAACAGATAATTGACTTAGGCATTAATGGAGCCAGAAGCGTTTCGACAAGGCTCCAGGCATTTTTGAGTCCATTAGCATAAACGCGAACGTAAAGTTCATTCGCTGGGTCCAAGATTAACTTCGGAAATTCCGCATTCAAAACTTGTAGCAGTTCCCTTGCCAGAAGAAAATGGAAATTTCAAAAAAAACTTGAACAAGCATCCGTGTAAAACGACTGGATGTGCACAGTTTATGTTCCCATTTAGTGACTAATTTAACCCCTCTATTATTCTAGTTTTCTCTATTTTTTTTATTGGTCTCCAATTACAAGTGGAAGCAGCCAAGCATCTGGAACAATTAAGAGGAAAATCTAGTCACCTGCCCTCGGTAGGTTGTTTTTGGCTGATGAGAAGAAAACTAACAACAAACTAATTGGCGATTAATAAAAGCTAATTGAAGAAAAATTCATGGCGCAAGACTGGTTAGTGGTAAAGTGCGCTTGAATGCTTGATAGAAATAGTTTGTTGCAATCCATTAACTCACAAATTTCATTCATTAATATATACTATCAACGTATCTGGAATAATAGAAGGCTGTCTAATAACGATGAATTAATTTTGAGATTTCAACCTCCCTATCAAAATACTTTCGTCTGAAAAACCACCTGAGTGAGGTGTCGGCAGAAAGAGACTTTAATGAAATTACGTGTCGTTATGTGGGATGTGCATGTTCACCCAAGGTTATGGAATCAGCTGAATTAAGTAATCTAATTTATCAAGTTCAAGGCCGCAACGCGGTAACCGTGGCGACCCGATTTGATGGCTGAGCATTATGGCCTGTCATTTAGTAAGAATTTGGGTCAGCCTACCAAACGCAGGTACGATGACGTGGTCATTATCAGGTAAACACACGAAGACGCCAAATGAACATAAATGAGTAAGATTACTTGGCTCTTTAGCTTTGAGATCTCCGTGGCATTATGACGTAAGAACGTCGAGTCCAGCAAACGAATTCACGCGAAATCGATTAGCAGGTGGCTGCTGACGCGTCTCGAGGTGGACGTCTGCTAATTAATTGATGGGATTAATGCCGTGGCAGGGGGAAACAGGCAGTGAGCCTAATCAGAGCTGTGATTTGACTGTGTTGAATGTTCTGGGTGGACCACCCCGCTTATCAAAACAAATTGCCAAGGATTCGGGTCTGCACAATCAACTGAGCATGGTAGCTCCACACGCACTTTTCGCATCTAATCTGCTGATAATTAGTCCTCAGATTATCATTCCTCTTTGTTGTCTTGAGTGTATCAGTTTTGAAGGTTTTGACAAAGCACAACAGGAAAACATTTAATTCAGTCCAGAGTGATTACTGGAACTTCATAATCACCATCAAAAGTACTTTTGAGTTAACAAAATCTTGTGTAAAATGGTTAATTTGTTTTAATGTTGCAAACATCCATTGTTGGAGGTAAACGAACCGATTGAAACCCGTGCGCATGTGTTTGTCCTTCTCTCAGCCCGTTTTGATTGCCGCCATTTTATTTTAGTCCTGAGTTATGTGTACCCCTCTTACTGCTATTATTATTATCATTATTATCTATTTACAACTTTAAATGCATGCTATTTGCCAGTCCATTAATTAGCTCATGACCATTTTAACATCCAACACGAAGTCTGCTTTATCCCGTGACACTGCTGAAAATAACCCCAGTGAACCCATACTCGAGGCAATCCACCGTATTACTATGTTTGTTTTGCTGGAGATAAGGAATGACTAGTCGCCACAACTCAGCGTTCTTGATATATCGGTTGCCACACTGGGGTTAATTGATTACATATACCCTAGACCGGTGTGGTACATCAGGTGTGCTATTGTAAAGCAGCCCCCCTTTTTAAGGCAAAACGATAGTGAATTACTTTGGCCAATGTTAGCGCTGTTGAAATAGGTATAGCAGTATCTAAAAATATTCTACTTATTAAGCATAAAGACTACATTGTTTACTTGAAACCTAGGGATATTATAATGCATCTCTACAGCATTGTAAAACATGGTGAATCTGGTAAAAGTGGAGGTAATCAAGGACTGCGTTAGTTCTAAGCAAATGCCAGAAAGCGGTGTTTGCAATGCAACTACGTGAACGAACATTCCGGTGGGTTGATAAATCCAGGAGTTTTCACTAACCCACCAACTTACATCGTTTTGTTTAGACGTTCGTTGTTTACTGAGTGATTCCATGAAACAAAACAACTCCCGTAAACAACCCAAGAGTAATTAATAAGGCGGAGTTGATAAATTTGCAGACTTCAAGGAAGGAACACGGAAAATGATTTGATGTAGGAAGAAATCATCACCGTAATGAAAATTAATCATTAATAGATAATGTTTCGCAGAATAAACAGTGCCGTCTCAGGTCTAATTAACCTGTTAATTTAATTATGGCCATTTAAATTCGACCAATGAGGCTGTGGATTGAGATGTCAGCCATGCGTCGAAGGAGGGCCGCCTAAGGATAACTTGATCAGACGACTGTAATTAAAGCGGCGAATAGACAATGGAATTATGAGTCCATTTATTTGCTTTTAACGACCTTTATACTTTAGACACTAAATGTTCTTTGGTAACTTGAGGACAATTTGCTAAAGCACACAGAAATATTCTCATTTGTCACGCATTACTACTTTGCTTTGTCAAAATTAAAATTTCGAACTGACAAACTCAAAAATAGACACTGGCAGTCATGTATTAGACAAAACCTGATGTGGATTTAAAGATAAGATTAAATATATTGGTTAAAAAGATCTTTCTAAGAATGACTTTGTTGATACGCACAGCTCACAAAGGGGACATGCCTTACTACTTTTACTTGTTGTCAGAGGGACATATCATGACCTTGTGGCCTCAGGTCAAGGCTTTTAGTTTTTGCCTATAACTAGCCGGCAAATTTACTATACTGCACAAAACAAAAAACGTTGAAGCAAAATGTTCACGTATGTTCTTTGTACTGGTCTGTTAGGCGACTGAAAGTTATAATGGAAAAGACAGGAAGTAGTTGGAGGAGAGAAACCGTGTATGAAATTAAAATGGCTGATGAGAACTAGTACAGGAAGTCGTTATAATTTTTCTTCCGGAATCCCAGACGTTCTGGTACTTATAAATAGCTTTTTGCCGCATTAATTAAAACGAGCTAATTCAACTTGAGTGGCTCCGCACTGAACTCGTTTCATTGAGACATGTCCCATCCATTGTTAACCTACTTCCAGTGCCTGTGATAGCGGTCCCTGGCAAGGCAGGCTGAAGAGCCAGCTCAAAATGCCGACTAAGTGAGTAGAGGGATGCCCATGGCTGATGTCAGTGGAAATGGACTCGGCGATCCCAGTTGTTATTTCATGGCTCACATTTTCAATTAGCACTTTCCCACTACTTAGACCCGAAATATCTAATAACGCATGTCTGCTGTTAGATGGCACCAAACTTAAAATCATCCCGCCTGGTTTTCACAATAAGCATCCATGAAGATGGTCAAGTTTGGAGCTGTTGAATAAAGGTTCGAAATTAGGGAAGTTTGCTTGTGGCTGTTTTTATGGCCTGGTGTTTGATAATTTGATTGTGACTATGTAATAGTAGTCCTGGATTCTAGTCGGTTGCAGACACAAATACCTACATTCTATCAGCTTATTGATAAAGTCGAGTAGAAGTTTGCCTGACTCTGATACGCTGGCCACGTGATAAACCCACAAAAAGAGAGCACCAAAAGGACCTTTAAAAACAAAACCAGAGTAGTGCACCTGAAAAAGCCTGAATCACCTGGAAACTGAATAGTTAAGGCCGAGAGCCGTCTTTTAGCAATGGATGGCATCACGTATCAACTTTGTAATAACGTGCATGTTTAACGAACAACACGCCTCCCAAGGAAATGAGCAAACATTAAATAAATTAGTTTGTTTTTATGCTAGTTATAGTTGTGACTTTAATCAAACCATTGCCCGTAACTAGTGTTGTCTCACGTCAAAATTTATGGGTTATCAATGGGTTGAGACTTCCCTTGGTTTGTCGAATTTTCTCAGTTACCCCAGTTTAATCGTCCCAGAAGTTCACTTTACTGACAAAAATGCAAAAACATGCATTGGTAACTCACTGCCAGCCAAGTTCTCCCCCGAGGTGGTCGGCAGCCACGGTGACATCGCTATTGATCTTTGTTTCTCCCCAGCTGAGGACCCCACGGCTACTCCCTTTGACGAGTGAGGCTGAAACATCAGTCCAGTAAAAATCTGCTCAAACGAGGCCTGCGGGACAGACTGGGGACCCAAGGCGAAGTTTACCGGACACAGCGGTGGTGCGCGGTGCTGCTGCGGGTGATGGTTTGACGGAGCAGACGGCGTCACACCTGTTGTGATGCCCCCGGTCTCCATTTAAGCAGAATGTTCAGTGTAAAGTAGAGGGGTCAGGTACTCCGGAGAGGAGAGACTAAGTGAGCGGTGTAGTTTGTGCGCCGTTGCGATGCCCGCATATGTGCGGACGTGCGGCGTGCGTGCCTCTGTTAACGCTTATACGCGCGATTATAGGCAGAAATTTTACTAAAGTGGTGGTGACAGGGGAAAAGACGGGAAGCAGGAGGGGGGGAACTGACATGATATTTCACTGCGGCTAAATTCAGTGTTGCAGCCGAAAAATTTTAAATAATAGTCTTTATAACCTACATAAATAATTAGTGATTTTGTGTCTTATATGACAGGGTTTTAAGAACCCAGACTCGTCATGTAACTGAAGACCAGTAGTCAGTCTAACATGTCAGCTGGACAAGCCGTGATCAATTACTTCATTCGAGGTTTAGTTCCAATGTTGCCGACATTTGTGTCGACAGTCCATTTAACTGTACTGTTGATGCCTAGACACAGAAAATATAAATTCCATGTTTGAATATGACCCCTAGTTCATCGTTGCACTTTGCCATTTCAAAACTAGCTTTACTGAAAACTGCAACTTCGAGAGTTTTCATGACAGAATCAAATGTGTTCACTAGTATTTTGACTGATGCTCCACTTTTAAAAGCGACAAATATAGTAATAGGAAGGGAAGGTGTACAATTTTAAGATAGCGATCCTGAATATCGAATGCTTGAGTAAAAAGAACGCTCCAAATTCTCCATTCCGGATGCCTGAATTACGAAAAAGGGTGACAAGCACTGCGTCACCAATCTCTTGCGGTTAATACCTAACAATTGCTAACTAAAAATCTGAGAACCAAACTGGTATCGGGGCCATGGATTTAAGGACACCAGGGATGCGTCCGAACAAGACCTAAATTCTTCAAAACATCGAGTAAAGGGAGTTGCGATAATGGAGAATCCGGTGATATGTTTGGTGTTTACAGGGCTGTTTGACGTAATTAAGTAGACGTTCTGTCAATAACCCGATCTCATGTCACCTGATCGTGTTCTATTTTCAAATCGCCAAAAACTTCAATCATTTTTGCCAAGTTTCCAAAAAGAATAAGTGCCATTGGAACTAGCCAATTCATCAACAATCAAACCTTTTTTGATGTGAATGTCCGCAAGGGGTCCTAACAGGCTTAGACCAGATTTCCAAGGCGGCTAATTTTACTTAAAACGTGACATGCCCTCAAAGGACAGTTGGTTACATTAAATGTGATATTCAGACAACAATAAAGGGGTAGTTCAAACGTCACAGAGGGTTCTGTGGGCAGTGCTGGTCTCATTTTAAAAAATTTGGTTAATTGATTAAGAGAACGTGCTTGTTTGTGGCAAAAGATCTTAAAATCAAAATTAATTTGTCTGGGATAACCTTTCGGACACCTGTAAAACCTCTCTAGTACGGTTTTCTTACTATTGGGTCCTAGTCCACAGTTGTTGTGATCACTTTCTCAAATTGACTGCACAGAGCTAAACTCAGTTAAATGAATTTACCGTCTAACGACAGAAGACTTCCTTTTGTAATCCCCTCGTTCTCGAACAGTATCAAATGATTTGACAACTCAGTGTAGTGCATTTGCGTTGTCAAATTTGTAACCGGAAAACGTTTCACACTGCTAGAGCCTCCATCGGGCCCTTACAGTCATTACTCCGATTCTTTAAATTAAATAAGCGTCAGTTGCAAACGCATTGACGTAGAAACATGCAAGAAGTTATTTAGTTAATTGGGGAGTGGTCACGCCCACAATTAACGCTCTTCCAGATGAAAAATAAAAACATTGCCCAAGAGTGAATGTTGCATGTTCTAATCCCTCTCCCCGCATATAATTGACACCTGCGAATTCCTAGAGGACACACCCATGCAGTCTACCAGATGGTTTTCAATTTTAGACCTTCTCCCACCGAAAACAATTAATATTTGTGGCCCCATGGACAAATGGGTAATTAGAGGATGGCACGAAAAAAGGATACAATAATTGTGAAGTGCCGTCGATGCTGAAGTGCATGCCAAGAAAACGGAGACACTTACCCAGGCTACCTCTGACCACCTAACTTGGTAATTTTCAACCTCCTACTGCTTTGCCGTCTTGTCTTATTGAAAAGAAGAAATTGGTGAAATTGAACTCTTTGTTATTAAGCCAGTACAATAGGAAATCATCACCGATGTACTGTTGTATTGGTCATGTTTGTCATTTAATTCCGTGTGTTCTGCATTGTGATTTGGAATTGGCTGGTGGTAGCTTGTATGGTAGCTGATTTGCAGTTCTTAAGCTGGATTAAGACCTCAGATGATGTGGGCTACAGATGCTCTATACTAAATCCTGTTTGTCCCGTAGGTAAGTGTTTAGTGTCTGAGACCCCCCTCTTTGAACTGCCCCATCTCAAAATACACTTCAATCTGTGCTGTGACAACGATTTAAGTCGCCTTATCTTTTAATAAACACTGCTTTTTTCATTATCATTTCCACCTGTGCATTTCAATGAATGTAATCGGTCTCAAAATGGAAAATTGAGTGAAAGAAACCAGGATTCCGATTAAGCAGATTCATCACCGATCCTAGCCGAAGGGGCCAAACGCCCTATGACTCTAAAAACGTCTATGGCTTGCCTATTTATGGAAAAAAACTGGGTGAATTGATGAAGATTTCGTCTTCATCGAATCTATCTGTTTTTACAGCAACTGATCGGCGTTAACTAATCGATTTTGCCGTGAAACATTCTGAACTCGTTATTGACCCTACGAATTGCCTATAATGACCAACACGTATTCAACCATCGACAAAGTTATTAATGGTTAGTACTGAAATAGGAATGGACTTGTAAGTTTAGTGGCTTTTTAATTCATGTTTTCGGCAGTCGGTTTACAACGCGGTGAGAATGTAAGCAAAAAAATTTTATTCGCCAGCAAAACGTGGGAATATTTGATTTACAGCGTTCTGCCAACTCACATGCATCACCCTTGTTGGCTTAAAAAAATGATTTGGAGGTTGTGAGGGAGGGAGCACAATATTAAACAAATTGACAGGCTGTTTCCGGGCCACCAAACACACGGATCCACACCCTCAACACTAATCAAGCTGGATTATGGTGGGGAGAGAAATGTTAGAAAAACCAACAGAATAGAAAATAATGTTATGTTAAGTTAAAAATTTAACGAATAAATAAGATCTGTAGCGTTCATTTCAATTAATTTGGAGTGTGATCTAACATGGTGTCACTTGCATTTTAACAGCGCGGTGCGGCACCACCTTTTTAAAAAAAAGTTGAATTAAAAGAATGCCTAATCAGCAATCTGTGGATTAATGAGATTTTTTAATTGTGATTCAGAGTTGAACAACAGCGAAGGAGTAGATAATTTCACACGCAGACAAATAACCAGGCAAGATCCTTAAATCTGAACAATTTAAAGTTGTGGAAAGTATCGGGAAATGATGAACGGTAGCATTATTAATTCCACTTAGTGACTGCCAAACGTAAAACGGGACTATTTTACACGTGAATTTGATTTAATCCATTTCGATCTTCTATTTCGGACACATTCATTCTCGCATAAGTCTTCAACTACTAATCTCCGATTAACGGGATGTTTGAAATAAAAAGTTAGATGGAAGAAAATCAATCCTTAGCTCCTCACTTAGTTACAAAAGAGGTCTATCTACTGCTTAAATAGGACATTAGCTACACTGCCTCCACCAAGGGAGGAGTCGAAAAAGAGCTTTAGGATAAGTTGTGTGCAGGTTTGTTGAAGATTTGTAAGATTAACAAGAAGGCTTGATGCAGATGTCAATAAAACAACTTGTGCCATGATTCCAATCCAAATGAGCCTTTAACAGTACCTCATGACGAACGATGAATGAGGAATGCAGGGCCATCAATCACCTTTAGATGGCCAATATTCGGTCGGGCTCAATTTAGTAATGGAGTTTAAGGTTATATTCAAACATGAAATCGAATCGAGTTATACACAGCATCCAATTAATTGAGAAAATCACATCTACTGGTGGCAACTGTTGTCAGTTAAGAGTCATTGATGCCTTGCAAAGCATCATAAGAGCCAAGGCTTTCTGGCGTTTATTTCTGGGAACCTTTCCATCTGTAGCAGATCAAACCGGGATTCATAATGGAATAAATATTTGCACTTTGTGTGGTTGGTTCAACGACTTGCTAATTGCTAGTGTGATTGCACATTTGAGGGCCATAATCGGCGACTAACTGTTAATTACTTCCTTTCTCAGCAGCGAGAGGAAGCAGAGTGAATCGCCGGCCATTTTTAGGGGGTGGCAAACTAATTCCCAAAATCACCCCTCTTATGGGAAATGGTAGTCATACTGTGCATGTTCATTGTCCTTACTGAGTCAACTGACCCTCAAATTGCAACATAAATAGCTGGAAAAATTGGTATCAGGGGTCGCGAATTCGTCAAATAACCGTGAAGGCCCATTTTACTGGTACTCGTACCGCCAGTTTTGAGTTATTAATGGATAATTTTCCGCCTATTTTGCCGTCACATCACTACCTTTTATCCACAGAGATTAGGGTGATTCGCAAGTTATACTTTCACAATATTTAACGGTATTTGCATCGTTTGAGCATCCAACGTTTTTAACAGCATCAGCATGATATTTTTTTAAAATTTGTTCTCTAACATGACATAGTTTAATTTTGCAATCCGAAGGTAACTTACGAGTGCAATGCATCACACTGCAATTTCAGTTAGGGTAGATTTTTGCGCTCTCTTGCATTGCGTTATATTTTTATTCACCTATCTATAGTGGAATGGCGACACTAATGTTTGCAATTTCTATGAATCACTCGCCAAACCGGAATAACGCGGCCCATTTAAAGCTAAGCTTTGTTTATAAAGCATCCCCTAAAGAATGCTTTGGAGAAATCGTTGCCCTGGGAGGCTGTTGCAGTCTTCGAAATAGAACTAAAAGGTTGTCGGCCTTCTTACTTCTTTGCGTTTTCCGCGGTCAACAAAAAGATGCATTATTGAAGCAAATAATGGAGTGGGATTCTTTGTGTTTAAAAACAATTTCAGTTTTGTTACTCAATAAGTTAGATGTACCACAAACACTTTTTTATATGTAAATCATTTTGGATGCTAATTATTTCATTTATGAAAGGCATTAAAAGTCGATAACATTGGTTTCGGTGATTCACTAGCAAGTTCGGACGCATAAGGGACCATCGAATTACCTCTTTATACAACTTTAACGTAAGCACAACCCTCCTTTTTCAACCTCTACTGGTATGGCTCTGTACACGACCACAAAACTCTGGTAGGACGTGAGCATTGTGGTGAACCTCCGATGGGTTTTAGTTTTGCGGTTATGAGGCCATCAGTGGGCTGTAGGAAATCGCGATGAATTTGTGTTGACAGAGGTTGTCTACACAAATTGTTCACTTTAATTACCTGCCTGATTTTGATTATGAGGAAGACAACAGGCGGTAACAGTGGACTGAACACGACATTTGTGGGATTCAATCTGTCCGAAGCTAGTTTCTTGTTGGACGCATTTGCTTCTTTGGTTACAAAGACCGCTTCAACTGGCGTTCAGTGTGGTTCCTCCTGGAATCAGAATGCTTTCAATGCATTTGTCTCCTTTTAAGGAGGTTTTAAGTAGGTAGGTCATAAATTTTAATTGACCAACAGTTAAAGTTACTTTAGAACCATCAACAAACGAAAGCCACATAAACAAAATTCAATGGATTATCTTGCTATTGTCACTGAACATTCATCTTGTGCTTATTATCCTATTAAAAAGGAATTAAGGAAGTCGTTGGTTTATGGCATCGAAGCTTAGATTTCAACTAGTAATGAACTCTGTGGTGGTCCTTCCACGCATATCATTCAAGCTTTAGTACGATTTTTTTAAATCCTCCTTTGGGTCTCTCATTTGCAGGCAAAACCTTACTGAAACATTATACTGGTTTTGGTAATTCAGAATCTGTTGAGAATATCATGAATTCCAACCGAATCTTACAAATTGATCATTGAAATATCATAAAATGACTTAACTCCTTCCCAGTATTCACTCGGCTGACGAAGAGTCTTATTATATATTTATTGCTGTCTTCAGTTAACGTTCTGTAGTAATCAAGTGACTTCTTGTTATCATAATTTGGTTGTTTTTGTTTGATTAAAATAACAATAATTCGGTTGCGCTTGTCTATGTTTGGACCCAGCCTATTACACCTCAGTTTTCGTGTATCATAATAAAGCCCGAGCAAGTGAAAATTTCACTTTTCATATTTTGGACAGTTTCTTCTTCACAGGGGACAGAGGGATGATGGACGCTGGTGTCAATTAGCCCGAGTGCGGGTAAGTTAATTTGCGTGCTAACTATTTGGGCCTGCAGGTTGCGTGAGCTGGAAGTTAATATAGGGTGTCAATCAGGCAAATGGGTCCTAAAGCCTTAACCCACTGCCATCAGTGAACTATGCGATGGTGCAATATAAAAAAAACACAGTGCTGTTGGGGAAAAAGCCCAGGGCTTTTAATAAACACCCTGAAATTGACGAATAGAAGGGTTTAAGTAGCATTATTTGCTCTTCCATGGGCATTAGGGAAAGAAGTCCAGCCTCAAAGCAGTGACTCTGATTACTGCTCATGAGCAGAAATGAAACGGTTTGAAATAAGTGTCACATTAACTATGGTTTGAACAGCATTGTGCAGCGAAATGCCGCATGCTTTTGTTAACCCACTGAAATTGCCTCCCTGATTGTGTTATTGTTGAGACACACTCTAGTTGTCAGACCATAAGCCCAAGCAAAATTGTGGGTGATAATTACGATCTCGAGGGAACAGACCACTGCCTTCCTGTTGGTCAAAACGATTGGAGAGTCCTAACTAGAGATACTCTGAAATCGAAACTCCAAAACACTGATCTGCGCTTTTCGCTGTGACTTCGTTCAAATAGATGCAAAGCCAGATTTTAGTATTAACTCGATTGGCTAGTTGCCAGCAAGTGTAATCCAGACAGTGAACCCCCTTTTGCCCCCTTCCTCTCCTCCATATTTGTGGGCGAGACAACGGGTAACTCCAGGAAGTGGCGCCGTAGTGGTCTTTAATTTGGAAACATGTCTGCGGGTCCGTTTGTTCATTTAATTTCTCTTTTCTTCTCTCCCTCTCTCTCTTTGCTCTGTACTTGAGCAAAAGGCCCCCACCTCCCCTGTAATTACCTCGCAATTTGACTTGCGAATTCGCTTTGGCGTTCCCCTCTGCCTTAGCATCTCTCCTATATTATCATTATTAATTGTTGGCGCCACATGGCTTTGACGCACACCCCAACCCGCACCAAAAACCACTCCCCTCTAATTATCCCAAAAGTCTTCCAATTGGGCTGGTTTTGATGGGTGAATAGGCCTCTAATTGTCAGTGAATTGAGTGAAAGGAAACATAAGTGGGGTAATTGTCTAGTTAGACCTATTTGTTTGTGCCACGACGTTCGCACGAAAACTTTCCCAACTTCCAGCTTTGAACTTTCATTTCGTCAATGATCAAGAAAAGGCATGGCAAACACCTTTGATTTTAACTTTCGAAAAATAACCGAAGTTCTTGCATTGTGGGCCTGACCGGCTCTTCATCAGCGCCTCTGCTCAATGAATTGAGACTCAGGCTTTTAGTTTCCTAACCCCGGTGCCAACTGTCTACTTTGGTGAGGTTCCCCGCGGTTAACAAGGTGCCCGAAGTTATGTTACTGATGTTGAGGTTCTTTTGAAGATAACGTTTCGAGGTGCGCTGGTTAGACATATTTGATGCTGTGTTGACGTCAGAGATCCCGAAAAATGTTGTGAATTGAAGAAGAGGGGCTCGATGTTAACCTCTAGTCAGTATCGACGTGCTTCTCACCATCAATTGTGAATGCATTAAAGGACGCAAAAAACTAGCTCATTCTTCATGGCTTGCTAAAAAGTTAAGCACGTGCATCCGAATTATGCCTCCGCTGGAAAAAGGTTCCTTTTCGCGGTGGTTTTTTGGGTTAAAACCGCTCCACGCTTTAGTGCGCGCATCGCCTTCGCTTCCTCCCTCCAAGGTGGCAGTGACAGCGATAAGATTTCTGTTGCAGTCTCTATTCGGGGTGTGTGTGTGTGTGTGAATGTGTTTGAGCGTGTGTGTGTAAAAGCCTCAATTACAATTTCCTCACCCCGAGCCACTTTCGTGGTAATGATAGCGTCAATGATAAGACGCGTGGCGGTGGCGGAGGCGTACGACTCTGAAAGCAGCGACGACGCGCTAATTATCACAAATTTCAATCCATTCACTGCTACTCAGGCGTGGGAGTTAATATCCCTACCACTACCACCTCCTCCTCCTCCTCTTCATCCCCCCCCCTCCTCACACCCCTCACCCCAAAACCCGGCAAAGAAGTGTTAACGCATTCGTGCGATGCAGCGCGGCGATATGAGCTCGACACGCGCCAGTGTGTGTGTGTGTGATTACAATTATCGATAAGGCAGGGGAAGGTATGCCTTTCACGAAATACAGTTAGCTATTCAGGGTGACTGGGGGAGGGGGCTGGTGGTTTCGTGGCGCGTGCGCTAATTGCGTTGGTGCTTGTGATCTATGTGGGCTTTCACGAGGTCTGCACGCCGGTGTGTGTATGTGTGTAGGCAAACCCACTAACACGCTGATTAGCAGTGAGATTAGCGTGTGTTGTGTGGAGAGGTGTTGTGGAGTGGCTTAACGGTTCCCACCCACCCCCCCTTCCCTGTCTCTCTCTCTCCCCATATTTCCCTCTACAACATAAATGGATCAAATATTACTGATGCTCCGAGCACCCAAGTAATTCACATTGTATTGGCTCTAATGAATGTAATTAAATCCATTGTGGACGTTTTGAATTCGTTCTACACTTGCAAAACGCCTGAAGATGCTAAGGACAAACAACTAATTACTTTCGTCATGTTTAGTTTCACTTCTCATGACTGAGATAACTTAATAACTTAATTTATGTAATTAAATGCATTCCATTGGCATAGCTGCATTTACATCTGATTTAACCAGATTGCATTTTTTGGAGATTGCATTATGGTAGCAGACCTTAAATACCCCGTGTGTAGTGTAAGGCTTTAACTTTTAAGAATTGCCCTTTTACCTTTGCCTGAATACCTTGCCTTACATACTCAATTGTCTTATCGAAGTATTTTACATTTTATCTAAAATTATCACTCTTGGGAATCTGGTCTGACCATGGTACCATCAGAAATTGTCATTATTGACAGATTGACTGCTTGCACTAGCCCTCGTCTTTTTAACAAGTTTGATAAAACCAAATCAAATTTATCACAATTTTAAACTGCTGTGAAACCACGTAGAATGAACGTGTTTTTTCATGTTCTACACCGATATCACGATTTTTTGAAGTACAGGCGTACGTTTAAAGCATTTTCACGGAGACGACGGTTACTGTGTTGGAATTTGTGATTTGAAATGAGGTAGACATTACCTTCACGGACAGGTTATCAGTTTCCACGGTTGCTTTCCGTGTAGATGGACTTAAAATCGAAGCAGATTTTAAAATTTATGAGCATCCTTCCTGAATTTCATCAACACATTTAATGCAGCAAACGTAATTCTCAATTCTTCACGTCGACTCTCATCAGCGTTATCACCAACAGCAACTCCAACCTTTTCCAATTCATACTTCTGTATGCTAGAATATTCTCGAACTTGATAGCCAAGTAGACAGTTCATTTCCCCTTGCTACGGCGTTCTACTTCCTCTCTGAGTGGTTCATATTGTGCTGCATAAATTTCAAGTCAAATTTCAAGTTTAGTCGCTGAAAAACTGGTGGTCAACTGCACGATAGTGAATAAACTAGCGAACGTGAGCTCTCCAACTTCTAGTATCTGATAATAGATTCGGTGGTGTGAGTTGTCTAGACTGGGTGGGAATCCTATTATTAAACAAATTATCACCAGAAGTACTGGGAAGGTTCAATTTGGCTATCCACGTATATAAACAACAACTGTTCACGGTAGAATATCCACCGCAACGAAAAAAGTGCCATAAAGCTATCAAATGACTGGTTTTGAGTGGATAAATTTGTACCAAATTTTGAAATGAATTTGTTAATAGCAATGAAAATCGATATTTCTCTCTAGGATATCTAATATGCCAGTCATTATAATGGTAGCTGGATTAATTACAGACATTTTTTTCAATAAAATAAATCACTTGCTAAAAAAATTTGCTACTGCTCAGATGGTTTTCTAAAAAATTTCTTCTTTAAGAACAGTGGCACTGGAGTATGCTGAGTCCATATATGTTTCTTTTAAATCCCATTCTCAACCATGAAGCACAATTGCCATTTATTAGGAAAATGAGGCTGCATTATTGTGTGATAAATTAAGTGTAAAATATGCTGCACAATCCTACAAACTACCGGTTACTCGTCATGACCTCACACACATTCTCTGATTCACTTTACTTTCTCCGAGTAATTTATATTTACAGCCAAAATCATTGGTCGCAACACTGACTGGGGAGGCCGTAGTATTCTCTGAAGTTGCAGGTGTTTGACGTAATGGATATGTCATCGCTGAGTCTGGTCGAATCGCGGGTTCCATGAGAAAAGTCGCTATCGTTAATTGCCGGGTCTTCTGTTTGGACACCCACAAGTGCTGTCGTAGTTGTGCAAAGCATTTATGATGCAATTTTTCCAGTTTATTTACGTCTGCGTCGACGTAATTCGGCCACCACAATGTCCTTGATACTGATCATGATGATAGTAGGTCGATTTCTTGCCATTCTGCATGCGGCCTTGATTTCCGACTCAGGTTGCAAATGTTCTCCGTGTTAGTATATCGAAAAGCACACTTAATGGCATTATTAGAGCAAAATTGTACCTTAGAGGTGATGTAAAAACATCAGCGCCTAGAATCTGTCATTGGACTTTCGCCTGTAAAGCTTTCAGATGTGCAGAATTTGAATTCTCGACTGAACAGCTAGCCCACATGCAGCTCCTCAGCTTTTGCTGCAAATATTGATACCGTCCATGGCGGAGTCGTGGCAGGATGCAGTGGGGCGAGTTAATTAAATCTTCTCCCCTCTCAATTTCCTCTATCAGATAACGTTGATTGATAAACAGCGACTATGAGGTTGGTCGTTCTGCCCTTTTCTCCCTTCTCGCTCTCCCTCTCTCCTTTTTTCCACTCTTTTTGCTGCTCTGATGGACAAATTAGTGCATGCAAACAGCCTCCTCCCATCCCCTCGTTTTTGATAGATTAGATATGACAGAGTAATTACAGTAACTAAACCTCTGATGGGATGCCGTGTGAGCAGGAGCGGAAAACTTTAGTTAATAGGAAGCACCATCATCATGGGCATCCCAATTTCTTCCACTTTGTGATTATGAGTTAACACATTTCAAGTGCAGTGACAGGTAGGAGTTTCGGACAAGGAGTGAGGGTATAATTATCCCCTTGCGATGGATATCATGCTCATCAGACTAATTATCCCACAAGGAGGAATTAGCATCGCAACTGCAAGTCATCAGTGGACACGCGTCCCCCAGAGGGCTGCTTGCCATCACCCGATGGTATTCAGAAATGTACATTCTTGGAAGATTGTGAGTTGTGGCTTTAAAAGGAGGGACTTAATCGAAATGCCGCTTCTTTAGGTGAATTTATTGACTCGGCCAACGTGCTGCCGAGATCTTGAATTATTCAAGCAGTTGCAGGATGATGAGGAGGCATAAAACAGAAAATAAAATCGGACCAGTGACTCTCAAACCCTCTTCCTTTTGTCACGTAGCACTCACCCGTCATTTGTTCTCACTGCGTCTCATTGTTTACGCTTTCCCCGCTACTTATCATTCAGGCCTGTGATGGGTGCGTGAACACGTGCCCACTGACGTCACCAGACAGACTCCAATCTATCGCGTAAATAGACGGTAGTAGCATCATGGATCACTCACAACCCTCTACTTTTCTTCATCCAGCAACGCTGGAACTCTTGCTTGGTGAGACTGGGATTATCAAAATAACTTTTGCAATGTTTGCCTTCATGGGACTCAGATGTGACCTTCATTAAACTCTACTAGGGTCATGACGATTAAGCACTTTAGTTTTTCCATATTGCCAAAACTGATTGGGTAACTGTATTATTTCTCGAACAATTTTCATGGATGACAGAAGCATTCAATCTTGACTGTACTGATGGTTCTTTTAATATCAAATTTTTGACCAATAATAATCTAAATGCGTCATGGGTCAACATAACGCGGAAATGTTTATTTACAGTAATTTGTCTGCCGAGTTAATTCTAAAAATGGAAAGCTAAGGTCCCACGTGCGTCATGTCGTGTCACGTTATTTGACTTCAAATAGGAGTGCACTGGAGACACAGCAAGAACGTGTCGAGGCGTTCAGTGGGATCTTGCTTCAGCTCTTCGGACAACAAAGCCGTGTTTGGGTAGATTTCGAAACGGCGACATCAAGCGACACTTAATTTGGTGGTGATTGAGAGAGCAGCACTAACCAAGGAATAAGCCCTAAAGAAAACTCTGGGTGACTCGTGATTGGCAGGTCGATTGCGTTGCGCCATTCAGTGCAACGTGGACACACTCCCAAACTCGATATCCATGCTTGAGGTTCGCGCGTTTGGTCACAAGCGGTGGAAGTGAATGGTGTTCCTTCAGATTCTTCTCACCACAAAACGAACCCATCATGGGTAAAGTCACGACTGAGGACTTGGGGAAAGTGCTATTTGAATGGCAGCAGCTTTGGAGGCAGAAGAAGCGGATGAAGTAGCCATAGGTTTGGAATTAAAAGTTCTGAATCAGTCGGAAAGGCTGAATTGCAGCCCCCAGTGAAGGTGCTTTTATGTGTTTGGTGTCATTGTAAAGGAACGGTGATTTACGAACTTATTCCATTTGCCAAAACAAGAACTGTGGAGAAGGTGTGTGCGCAGATCACTCAACTCAATGCTGAGATCCAAGCAAAAGACATCCCTCAATTGAAGTCGAATTCGTTCCACTTATTTACACTTTTTTGACAAGTGCAATGAAGTGTTTGAAATAAGCGACGGCCGTCACTACACAACTACACTAGCCTCTTGCGAAATTTGTGCAGCAAAAAGCCCAGGTGAATGGTAATTTGGTTGAATGGGCAAATAAGATGAAGCGCGTAGACCTAAGTCAATTGATAGGAATCGAGATAATTACAAAAAATAATCTGTGATACCACCAACACCATGAGTTTCCAGTTATATTTTTTTAGTCCAGAGTCATACTGGTTCATGTTGAAGTACATTGTATCAAGGAGCCAGAGAACTATGCCACTTTGTGCCCACGTATCAGCGACGCAGAGATAGTTACTAGGACAAGCCACGGGAGGGTCAACGTGTATTCACCCCCAGCGCCTTCCCTGACCTCACTCCGCCGGATATGCATGTGTTGCCTACTCAGCAAAACAATTTTATCGGTGAAAAATGTAAACAAAGTCAACAAAATTATTTCCGCGTTCTTTATTTTAAAACTACACTGTTTCTATGGAAAAGGAATTCACAAATTTGTTAAACGTTTTAGGCAGTCATGGGAAATAGCAGGATAAAAATAGTGATCTATAAATACTCTTTGTTTCCATGAAAATGTTTTGTAGTTCATTGTGCTTTGAACGGGGCACGATCTCCTGAAGTAACCCTTTGCTTATTCGTGCAACATTCCAAACACCTCGAGATACTGTTGGTGAGGCCGTCAATTGACTGTGTGCTGGCGGGAGCAACTTGAGACGACTGGCGACGCCCTTTGTCAGCCAACCCACCTGCATCGCCAGATTTGTTGCGTTTGTCCGTAACCAAGACAAACCAACTCAGAAAACGTTATCAGGTCCCGTTTTGACGCTAGGACCGATCTTCCCACTCTAATGCAAGAACAGGACCAGAGCTCGTGCAGAGAGTTTAAATCTTCCCTGTCAAAGACCGAGTGATCTGTCATAAAACAGATGTGGTGGTCAACAGGATGCCTTGGGTGACTCACCCACTGACGTAGCGTGGTTAGGGGATTAGTGTAAGCAACGACGGAATCGGTGATGAGCCATCTTGACGAACCATGGATCCCCAACACTTTTAAAATTTGAGTTCGCCTTAAGGTTGAAATTGTGCAGTGTGCAGTGTCTTTGAGTTTGAGTCCCTTCGAGTAATTTGGTTGCAAGCGCAGATGAAATCCCTTAAAGGCCGCAGTCGTGATAATCACTTGACTCTGCACCTATACCCAGTTGTTTAATCCAACCTACGCGGTCTTTGCCCTACGCTCTGTCAATTCCGACGTGTGTGAAGCCTGGTGCGTTTACTTTTTGTGCGTTGAAGACTATCCCATCTAGAGCGGCCTTAATTCGACAACAACCTTTTCAACGTTTGTCAGAATGTTTAATTCCCTTCAGCTTAACGACTCACTGATTGAAGCGGAGCAAACCATATTACCTGGGGTACAATTCTAAGCACAGGGCTTCTGGTTACACTTGCCTGAACAATGTTAAAGTCAAATGCATTAACTCAATTGTTGACTACAAATAAAACAACGGCACAAAACTAGCAAGAGACCTCACTTCAATTGAGATCGCTGTGCAATTTTTGTTGAAATCGACGTGATAATGGGCTCCGATCGCCCTAACCGCCTGATGGGTGACCGACAGGCATTGAGTGGTCACCTTCTGAATCCCTAGAGGGAACATTTAAAAGGCTGTTGAAATTACTATTGAATTTTCTTATCTATGGCCAAGTGCTTTCGATGTCTGGTATTTAAGCAATTATACTCAAATAATTTAAGTACCAGTAAATGTTGCAGATAGGTTAACATGCCTGTGATTTTGTTGTGTGGGCTAATTAGACCATGCTAGATTGACGGTAAAGGCATTCCCGCTATGCCTAAATTAAGTGGGACATACTTGCAAGCACTGTTAAACAATCATATATCAGTAATCCCCTGATCTGTTATTTGTAGCTTTTGTAGGCGTCTGGGAATTGTGTTGATACGTTAGGATCAGTTGTATAAACATGGACGTAAACGTCTATCACTTAGTATTCATGGGGCAAAAAATTTGCATCTTCACGGAGGAAAATGGAGTTGAAATTTAAGAAAGAAATGAGGCTTGGACTTGCTGATGAGCCCTTCCACGCCCCGTGTACCTGCGAACGCACAGAGAATTGCTGTGAAACGTGTTTATTCGAACTCATTTATCCGGCCGCTCCACTCGGCATGTCATTAGCCATGGAGGAGCCTCAACTCACATCGAATCAGCGCGGGTGTTAATCCTGGATTATCTCCACCTGTAATAACAGGTCCCCCTAGGTCTCGGGGTGAGCGATCTATGACTCACGCCGATTCACCCTTCCGAGCTTTAAACACACACGCGCAAACCCCAAACACCGATGGGGGCTGGTTGAACTCTCGAATAAATGGTTGCTTCTCTGTTCCTCTTCGTTGGGGGCACTTTGCGTTTCGTCATGTCCCAACAGAACCGTTCGGATGCATTCCTCACATGTTGGTCTTATTGGCTAGCAAATACACCGAAATTCATAGTAAATATTCTAAATACTGGGCATGCAGTTGTCAAAAGAATTTAAATGAAATAATTTCGAAATGCATTAATAAATTCTTGATGCCAGCTGGATGTGAATAGACAAGTGTTTGATCAATTTCTCGGCCAATGTTCGAGGGACTGGTAATCAGGGGAACCATCAGTGCAAGAAAGTGTGTGATCACTGGATTTTGGTCAGCTCTGTTGGGCAAAGACATTTATCTTGAAGGCATAAATGTAATAAAAAGAGGAGTGATTGGTCAGTCGCGCTGTCACATTTGTGGAAACTCACTCATGTAGTCGGTAGGCCTTTTGGGTTGGGGTCTGAGTACCTTTGCAAGCACAAGGAACCCAAACTGTTTAAGACAAGTAAGCTGAGTTAAAAATTAGAAGGTCGCATGTTCCACAGATGAAAAAACTCAATCGCAACTTAAATTTGTTTAAATTTGCATTAAGTTGCAGAGTATCAGCACTTCACGAATGTTAGCAGACAATTCTCATTCGTTCACCCTTAAAGCCTTATTTGAATTTAACATCAGCAGGTTAAAAGACGTTCTCAAGGCATAGTTTGCTGAATCAGAAGTGAAATTGCAATTGGCCAGTTTTAACTTCAATTCACCTTAATGACCTTGTTTATGTTAGCTTTCAATCATGTGTTTCATTGTCCTTATTTTAAGCCTGATAGATCTGAGGTGGAAAATGCGAGCTTTTCAAAAAAGAATTTATTTTCAAAATGCTTGCAAAAGCCATTCTGCCGGTGGCTTACCATGCGTCAGGACCCTTGGCTTCACCCGAACGATTCGATCGACACCGAAAAGTTTCTCTCTATGAGCCGCCTTTTTGGAATGCCAAATCGCTGGTTTCTCAAGTTAGAACGGGAGGCTTAGCGTAAAATTATGCATTTAACCAGCTTCCCTTGATCCGTGTCGTCTCATAGTAGTGCCACAGCCAGTACAATGACACACATAATTCCCTTGATTCTGAATGGCTCCTATTTGGGTCGCTGTGAAAGCACGCGCCAATCAAAATATTCGACCCAATTTCACATCTTCGCTTGCACGCGCAAAGCTCTTCATTGGGTCAGCCAGACGCACGACTTGTCTGCTAACAGAAAATGCCGGGATATTGTCGTCATGTCTGGTCCTTTTTTTGTAAAATGACCATTTATCACCGTTGGTAGATCTAACGAAAATTTAAACAAGATAAATACTTAGAACCAGGGCAACGTTTCAGAGTACTCAAAATTGCATAAGTCTATAGGAAATCAATATTTGTCTTCGAAGGAACCCTAGGATTTTAATCTTCGGCATTTGTCGGTGCCTAGGAAAATTATGGAACAATTTTATTTCATAATGGTTCGCATTATGAGTTGTGCCTTATCTAAAACAACTTAGTAGAGAGGTGGGAATTCACGTAACCATGAAATTTTTGACCATGTTGTGGCGTGTGTGGAATGAATTTGAGGGAACTACCTAAAGGCGATCGTAAACAGGTTGTCTAACGAGAATTATGCTGGCAGTATTTCTGTTAATTTCCTATTTTGAGCCTCATATTCTTATTCCCATTGGCAACTATGGAACTACTATGGCCTTCTGGTTACCCTGCCCGATCAAGTGGGATCCGGCAGATCGACACGGCATGCACACTTTAATTGATCAGGCGTTTGCATGCGCGCGCGTGCGGAGGTGCGTGCGTGCACGCCGCACGCGCAGTGATGCATTCTGGGTCGCTGCGGGGCGCCGCTCCGGCCACTATTGACACGCGTGCACCGCGAGCCCAGAGCTGACGACGACGCTGCACTCGAGTGTGTGTGTGTGCGCGTGCACCTCTGCTTGTTCAGTTCTGACCGGCACCGCCAAGCACACCCATACACACAAGCGCCGAAGCAGCTGAACACCGAGAATGTTGCAACCCCGGGCATGGGGTCTGCTGCTTCTGGTCCTCACGGCCGCTGGCCTCGGCAGTGCTTTGGATATAACTGCTCTTGGAGCCCAACTTCCTCCTGGTAAGTTCCACCAAGGGACCCCCTAACTGACACGCCTCCTTTTCGTTGGACCTGGTCAAAGCCGGGGACTGAGTTTTAACGAGTGTAATGTGCTATGAGTTTCTTCCCGTTAGGCATATTCCTGCCTTCGCGGGCCATTCTAGTGCAATGTTGAATCTTGTACGATCCCATGCAAATTTTTATACCAATGCACCTTTCCATGATTCTGTAGGCATTTCAGTGATTATCCAGACATGGTGCTGAATTGTACACTGAAGCAAGACTTTGAGCTTCAGTAAAACTGATCACGGTAATTTTAGTAGGCACACATGTAGGGCTTTGAGTGCAAAATTCAATTTTTAATATCCCTGACTTGCTGAATTTGAAAGGAGTGGTCTCCGTGTTCGTTAGCACTCACAGTGTTCGATAAGCATTCGCATTGAAACATCTTCCTTGAGTCCTGAACGTCTTGCATTTTAATTGATGAATTTTGGCCCTCAAGGAACGGGTGTTCAGAAGTTACATTTTAGACCTCCTTTTAATTGTACCAGTCCTCACGCAGATTTCAATATCATAATTGTCAGCTTTACTTGTATTTACATTTGGCGTCAACAGTACATCTGGCAGACCGCAAACTTTATTTATCGATTTAATGAGTAACCTTTTGTTTGACTCCTGTGCGAATTAACCATGGTTTTAGACAAATACTTTTTACGCTCTTGTATAAGTGTCACAGAATCAGTCAGTAGAATGATGCTTTCAATTAGTTCCACGCGTTTAAACACTCTGAGTCAACTCTCGTACATCGCCAGAAAACGTACGCGATCAAATTTGGGTCATGCCTTGTTCACTTGAAGCTCTTTCAATTACAATTAATCGTCTTTTGAGGACATTAATACAATTCGTTCCAGCTGGAATTCGCCCACAAAACCGTGACTGCGGTAAAAGTGGGACGTGAAATCAGTTTACCTTTCATGGATTTTAAATAAATTATCTCAACTTGTCTAACAGTAATAAACACGTTACCTTCATGGTGCTGTCGACTGTATTTCTATCTTTCCCACTTGCCAATATTGCTAACCGCCTGGTAGTTGAGAAGCATTCTACAAGGCTCAAATGTAAGCAACAAAAGAACTCACAACATCATAGCTTTCGAGCTGCGTAGTAATCTGACCTCACATGCATCCTACGACCAATGCACCAGGCCCATGGTTATGCCAGTGCTCCCATTTCATTGGCTGCTGGAATTGTGGGTTTTTAACGTTTCTTGCAATTATTACTTTTTAAAGATTTAAAAGCGAATGAATTAATCAATTTGCACTAGTTTCCAAAGGATTTAAGTCAATGCGTGTTTAATCTATCTGATGTTGCCTATAAACTTAGGAATAAATTGCAACTCATTCTGACATTTTATAAAAGCGGACTCGGTATGATAGTTTATTACCTCTACGTGTAAGTTGATTTCATGCTTTCAGCCACTGCAGATTGATCAAAATTGACCCTTTTTATTGCAAAATGTTTGCTTTCACTTGAAAGAATTTAAAGTAAATTTCGTGAAAATTTGGTAAATGCATAGCATTGAGGTGGTTCTGAATTTTAATGGAAGTTGCTTTCTGAAAGGTGCGGGCCGTTGCTCTGCATTGTTTGTGCCTGCAGGTCTCTGGCTTTTTGGGTAACGCAATTGTGTATGTCGTTTGAATTTGTCATGCCACTACATTTTCCACTGAATTAAACCAAAACATGCAGCTATTTGTGTTTATAGCCTTCAGACGATTCCATTTGTACAGCTACATTCCATCCTTTATTTTGCTTATTCCCCAAAAATGTCAATAAAATTTTCTTATTTCATTCATTTGCGCACCAGTTGTATAAAAACTTATCCATCGTAAATCCATCAAATACAAAAAATGGATTTTTTGATTCTGCATTTCTTAAAATTGATTCATCTAAAGGTTGCATGGATGCCCGACCAACAGAATAATGTGGCACGACCGAAGAATTCTGACCGAAATGGACACCTAAGACCTCGGAATTTACCAAGCCTGCACCCGAAACTAAATGGTCCCTTACTTGCCCCTTAACATTTATCGGTGGCATTAACTGCTTGAACTTCACACTTGCGTATGTCGTTACACCTAGTTACGAGTACGAGACTAAAATAAACGACAAGGATTTCATGGGATAAAAACCATTGCCGGGATTCAATATGAGCCCGTCGTCAAACGATTTCACACAAAAGGGATTTGTTAAGGTTGTGTGAATGTTAGTGAATGGCTATTTTTGGTGCGGCGTGGTCTGAGCAACTGTCGAAATGGTTCCTCCCTTAACGACAGGGTACGTATCACAGGCTTGGGTGAGGTGGTTGTGTGTTTTGACTGCAACACTACCCATTGAATTGTTAATGCAATCTATTTTAGGGAGTGTGAATTTTCTCAATGAATTCAATCTCGATCAATTGGTTGGCTCCAGCGTACAGAAGCATCACAGTGCTTGTGACAGAGCTGGCGCAGCTTTCTCGTTTGTCAAAGAGGAGAAGCTCTCAAGACCCGCCAGCTCCTTCTTCCCAGGTAAACTTAAAGTGGTAGCATTGTCTGATCCCCACTGCTCAGAATACGCGCCTACTTGAATTTCGTGATGCGACTTTAAACTTGTTGTTCACCTTTAAACTCAAATCCTCGAGTTAAATGAAAGGAAAGGCTTTTGTGGTCAAAGTGTTTTCTGAGTTTATAATCGAAAGACTGGCTTTTACCTTTTCGCTTTCGTATCACCTACATTCACTACCTGATTATGAGCTGCGAAGGCCCCATCCTGCTCACAACAAATCCCCTGGGTTTTCAGCGGCCCTCGATCAATAAAATCAAGACACTCTGAAGTGGATTTTTGGTTGTTTTGCCGAAATATCAGTGCTAAAAGTAGGCAAAGCCTAAAACCCCTGGCTTCCTTGTGCTTAAACTCTTACACTCCCATTCCCATTGGTTCAGGTTTCCATTGATGGCGTGTAAATTTACATTGGCGATTAGCAACCAAATCAAAGCAAATTTTAAGTTATAACTACGTTTAAAAATTGAGCTGTCATAGTTGGTAATCAGCATACACACACTCCACACTATTGCATTCATGTTTTCCCCTCAACATCCAGGGTTACTAACGTCCTGTTGGCATTCACACATGTGAAGTCAGCAACGTCATGACCAAATTTTGTATTGCGTGTGTTCAGATGGCGTTCCCGAGGCATTCTCGATCATGGGTTTGGTGAAGTTGGACGTCTCGGGGAGGCCGCAGACTCTGCTGGACGTTCGAGACGCCTCTGGCCGGGAGGTGCTAAGTCTCGTGTTGGACGGTCAGCTCGTCTTTAAGTTGGCCGAGACACCTGACGTGGTTAACCTTGTTCGCCTTAATCAGAGCATCGTCGGTGACGGGTGAGTTTTTTCACCATAGATGTGTTGTGTGATAGCATTTGTTACTGGGCATTTGGATTCTGCGATTTGGGACATTCAATTATCAACGGGATGGCTATTGCAGTATTCCAACTTAGTGGCCTTAAAATAATTGTTATAACTGATTTGAAGTAAAAGTTTTGAAGTTTGGGGGCCTTCCGAACCTGAAGGAGTCAGCAGTGACAAACGGTGGTTGAAAGTACCTCTGTGTTCAGGTGAGGCCGTGCGGTTGCCTTTCTGCACACCACCCCACATCGCCTCAGTTAGTCATTGACGGAGTCATTTCAGGTGTTTGATTGAACATTGACTCGCAATACGTTTTACGTGTTATATGGTGTTTTTTCGATGCATTTGGCTAAGTCTGAGTCTGCGTCATCCTCCAACCCATTAAGGGGAATCACTCCGTGTATTCAAGAAGTTTAACAAAAGCATGCACTTTAGCACTATATGAGGCAGTAATGTTTACATGACTGATGCTGCCATAAGCTGTCTAGTATTCATCACCCGCGCTAAGAAAATTCCAACAAATATTGAATACAGAGGGTATTTACACCGCCTTTGTGCGTGAGCGTTAAGTTATACTTCGTGGAAATCGTTTTACATCGTAGCCACCATGGCTCATTTAAATGTAGTGAAAAGTGTGCGCTACATTTACAGGGAGTGGAGCCTGATCAATGCAAGTCAAGGGTTGATTCCCCAATGTCCCCGCGTAAAGCACACATCACATTTATCGAGAAGTCCACTTGAGCGCTTGTGTGTGATCGCCACTGTCCAGCTTCCACTAGTGAATTTACCACTAGTGAAACTGGATTGGGTGAAATCCAAAGTAAGTGCAGCCCACCAACTGAAAGGCTTTAATTGTCCACATTTCGCCTTGCATGTAGCTGGTCTACAATCGGCCTGAGCGTGAAAGGCGACACTCTGGTGCTGATGGTGAACGGTATTGAAAAGCAATACGCTACCCTCCATCGAAGCACCTCTGATTCTGGGGCGATCGGCAAAGGGAAGGTGTATCTTCTGCATGGCCAGAAGGGCGACGACTCTTACGATGTGAGTGGTTGATGTTCATTTATTTCCTAGAAAACAGTCACAGTCAACTGATATTCCATATCACTTGTAACCAATTATTTCTCTCGTTCGGCAGCCAATATTGTAGTTTTTTACCATGGTCATCAACATTACCACTTGATACCCCAAAGAATTGGTTAAGCAATATTTCAGGTCAAAGTTGGTGACCTTCAGTTCTCTCCGGACCCTGAACAGGCCTACACTTACCATCATCGTTTGCTCCAAATCTGTCCCAATTTTGAGCAAATGAGCAGCCGAGATGTCATGATGAGCCAAGAGGGCTCAATTGAAGAGGTGAGTCAAAACTTAGTGCTACTTTCATCTACAGTGTTTGATGCTTTTGAAATCAAATTGTGCACATCCGAGGACGCAAACCTGTAAACTATGGTTTGAGGATTATTCTCCAAGTATAACGCAACCTAATTATGCTTTCAGTTGACAACATCCCTCACCAATCCATCTGACATTTACATTTATGTGTAAGATGAAAATCAGTTTTGTTAAGTAGTTGCTTATATCGTGGTAGTGCTTGGGAGCATCTATGCACATTGCGTTGATGCGTTGTCAGGTTTTTTGCGTTAACTCAACCGAATTCGGGTTGTTAGTGCCTACTCATTTGCACTGCACGTTCGCAAATTATCTGTCTACGTTTAGCCCTAATTCATTGTCAATAACAAACAAAGGCTGTGCGAGCAGTTGCTAAAAGTGACTCATCTGGTAGCATTTTTGAGAACAGTTATTGGTTCAAAACTATGAAAAACGTTGACGAAACGGAGGTCAAAAATCAGGAATAATATGAGTGAGGAGAGCCTGTCATAATAAGAGTTTTCAGTTAAGAAATTAAAATCGGACAGTCTCTTTAAGTGTTTGAAGGGAAAAAGTGCGAGTATGAATGGGTTAAGTTAACATGAAAAATATCAGTATCCACTATGGATTATTTATTGTTTACCACATCATTCTTTCTGTCCGTGTAGATCGATGGCCAAATCTACATCCAAGTGAGTTACTGAATTTAATATCTTTGCTTCAAATCTCTGATCCCTTCTACGCCGAATTTCGATATTTCAGGGCCCAAGAGGACCCAAGGGTGCCCAAGGGCCTAAAGGACCTCAAGGACCCCCGGTAAGTTTGTCTTCGTTTTCTAAAAGGCACAGCGCTGCTGAGCGTGCCCTCGACCAAGTCCGCCTGGGCTACAAGTTCATCTGGGACGATGTGGCAAATTCAATTTGATTAGAGTCCTATGCCCTGACTGGGGTTCTCATTGAATTAGTTAAAAGAATAAAATTCGTCTTAACACAATTTCAACTTTGCTTTTCCCGTTAAGCCCTTCTTATTCTATTTTAATTTTGTCATTCAATGGAAGGACAGTAATCGAATTGATTTGCAATTCTATAATTTGACACATTTAAACAGGTTCTACCGATTCCGGTAGATTTAGATAAGCAATAATTTCTCCCATAATGTATTATAATGTGCAGAAATCCAGTGCGCTCTAATGAAGTAGTCGGGTAAATCAGAATATGTTGCACAATGTTTGTGTATGATTTATCGCTTTGGTTTTAGTAAAAGCCTCACAAAAACACAGGTCCTTTCATTTACTCGCTGAAGTACTCGTTTTACATACTCAAGAGGGATGCTTGTATATTGTCTAGGGTCGAGATGGCCGCCCCGGCATGCCTGGAGCTCAGGGACCCCCGGGGCCGCCGGGTCACGTCCTTTTGATGCCGGTTCCCTCGCACGGAAAGAATGAGAATGTCCGGATGGCTCAATTCCGCTCTGCCATTCAGCAGACAGTGGTGAGTGGCGTGGGACATTCAAACAGATGCCATGCTAGATGTGAACCAGTCTCCAAGCCAGTCTTTGCTGTTTGCTTTTTCTAGATGATGTTGAAGGGTCTGCGTGGGATTACAGGCATGCCAGGCCTACCAGGCATTCAGGGACCTCCAGGTCCAGCAGGTCCCAAGGGAGATCAGGGACCTCAAGGCGACTCCGGGTTCGCTGGTCCTGTGGGTCCACGTGGACACCCTGGTCCTAAAGGACCTGTTGTGAGTTAGCTTTCACTAGACGTTCACTAACTTTTACGCATGAAACATCGTTTAATCATTAATACATAAAATCACGTGGATTTAGGTTTTTTAAGCTATTTTCGCGTGAAAGATGTTAGATAGACTTACTTTAAGAAGGTTATAGACCATAATCAAATCGTACACTGGCATTTATGAGGTAAAATAGCTGTGTCCTACCTGTAGTAAGGTGCAAAATATAAAGCAGTTGTACAATTTTTCTTCTTGAAAGCCAAATCCCGCTTCTAGGTGCTTGGCTGGGAAGTCAATTGATGAAATGGTGCCGAATAATGCCATTACATGGGAGTGGGACATAGTTTAAAGAGCCAACGACAGCTCTACGAAGGACCCTTATGAAACAGCTTCACCTAATTTCATTTTGAGATTTGTCATTGAAAATATAGTCAACCATGAAGTAACAAATACCGGAATTATTAACAGCCGCCATTCGGAAATTAAAAATGAATTATTTTGGCCGTAAATTTCTCACGATAAAGATGATTACAGCTCTTGAATGAAATCCAGACTTGGAACATTGCAAGTTAACTGCTGTGGGACAGTGAACAGATAACTTTATGAAACACCTAAAGTGTTGAGGGGTACTGACTAACCTACTCTGTTGCATATCCAGAAATGGCCTTATCACAAATTTCGGAAACTGATCCAACGAATGGAGATATTCACGAATGTGGTGAGGGTGTGTGTTCGTTCGTTTAATAGCAACCCTCGCAAAACCACTCAGACTGTGAAGGCACGAAGCATGGGAGTTAGTTTGAACAGGCTTGGTCAACTAGTCTCGAATTGTTGGTTTCTCATTCGGTGAAAGTCGGACCAGTGACCTGCGAGTCCCTACAATTCACGCGATGACGAGTACTACTTTTTTGGTTCACTCAACCATGATTGACTGGATCATCCGCAAACGATGGTGGATAAAGCCCCGGAGTTTGTCATGAGTGCAGTTCTAAACGTAATGCCAGGAATCGGTGCTCCTGAACAAATCCTAGGAATTCAGCCTTATCCATAACACTCAGATGAGATAACATTTTGTAAATATAACCCCGCGTCTTTCAATATATAATTATGACGCAGGTGCCGTAATAAACTGAATAATGCTTAATTGTGCCCCGTCATGACCTCTGCGTCGGACACTGAAAGATGTGAATGTCTTCTCTTGTTTTGCAGGGCCGCGCCGGTCGTGACGGTGAGGCTGGCGTGACGGGTTTGCAGGGTCCCAAGGGCGACCCAGGTGCCCCGGGCCTTCCTGGTCTCCCCGGTCCAAGGGGTCACAAAGGGGACGACGGACCATCCGGCGACAAAGGAGCCCAGGGTGAACGCGGCCCACGCGGTCCCATGGGTCGCACCGGTGAGACTGGACCCACTGGCGAGCAGGGACCTCCTGGCTATCCAGTAAGTCTCGTCGATTTAACCTATCGAGTCGGATCCAGTTCAGTAAAGTTAAATTAACCCAGGTTGTAAGCTAAGTACTGACTCTTCCCCTTTTAAGTCGTTCCACGAGGTCCACAAGGGGTTTTGAGTATGCTGTGCCAACTCAACGCATTATTACCACAGCACACTGTATCGCATCTTATTATCTATTGCACTGTAATAAATGAGCCCAGTGTGGAACTGCGATCAACTTCGCCACTTTCACAAGACACGAATTCATTTCCATTTCTTTCTAAGTAAACAGGCAATTGTTAGCGAGATCTCAGTGGTAGACCTGCACACCTCAGTGAACAGTGTTATAGCATAAAATGACAGTTTGACCTTTTGTTTTAACAAGATCTCAATAGATTCTGACGGAAAATTACCAGTATTAAACGTGAAAACTTTTCACTAATGTAGTGACCCCTGGGTGTGAGACAGTAAATTTGGCGCTTCTCCTTTGCGCATCAATTTGTTAACAAATTAATATGGCGAAATAGACCACGGAGAGAAAGGTATGTCATTTAAGTAGCTAATCAGACGGCAATATTTTAATGGATGCAGACTCATTACATCGACTAGAATATCCGCAGATGATTTCCAACCGCATCACATTCTTATCTTAGGGTCCAGCAGGTCCGCCCGGTCAGCCCGGTATCCGAGGTCTCCCAGGCCCCGTGGGACCTCCTGGTCCCAAAGGAGATATCGGCGATACCGGATTGGCTGGCCCAACCGGTTCCGCTGGTCCTCCTGGTCCACCCGGCGTTGTCGGACCTCAGGGCGAGAGAGGCATTCCTGGTTTCCCCGGAAGGCGCGGCGACCCTGGCGTCTCAGGGGCTCCTGGAGCCACAGGCCCAACTGGAAACCCCGGTGCTCAGGTAAACAAATTCACAGACCTCCTGTTTCAGTGAACGCCGGGGAGCCTCTAATGCATTATTTCTAAATCAGACTTGTTTATTTTATGACTGTCATAATTGCTTCAAACTTTATTTCACTAACATGGTCTCGTGAATCACGCTTTGATTTATCAGTTACACGAACATGCGTTTTCTAAATGCTTGGACCAACGACAGAACTTGGTAATTATTCAAGCAATAATATGCTCCTCAATAGTTAAGTTGTTACAGATTCGTGTGAAGTTAGTCACTAGATCACGAAGTAGGTTTTGAACTCAGTCGCCACTGTGATGTTCCAAATATTCTTAGGGTGACGTCGGGCCGAAAGGTGACGACGGTCCTGAAGGAGCCCCTGGCGATATTGGTCCGATGGGACCCACAGGCTTCAAGGGCGATAGGGGCCCCCGCGGTCCCGTGGGCCCTAAGGGTGCCACAGGTTCCCCTGGTATGACCGGTATCGTCGGCGAGCGTGGAGACAGGGGCGACACAGGCGAGCGTGGCTTCCCCGGACCCACCGGACCCGAAGGATTAATTGGTGAAAAAGGAGAAAGGGGACAGGTGGGACAGGCCGGACCTCATGGTCCTGACGGTGAGAAGGTAAGGCTTCTGGAATTTATTCCAACATTTTATGTTGCTTGTGTGCTAACGGTTTAGTTATTGCCTTATATTTGGTAGCCGTCGCCGAGAAAAAGCACAATTATCTGATTTTGTTGGTATTTGAAACAAGTCGTTGGATGTTGTACTTCTAGAACAAATTTTGGCTCAAATAAACGCCATTGGATCCACCAAACTTCACACCCATGGTTCCTCTTTCATTGAAGCATGTTGCTTAAATGACGAATCTTAAGGAATACTTTGCCTTTCACGACTTTATCTCTTGAGCGTGCGGCAAATAGTTGGCTAAAATGATAGTGTCACGGTATCTCTAAATCGGTCTCCTACAAGATATATACATTCATTACGCTTTAATTAATCGTGAACTCTTTAACTTCCGTACTCATTTGATTAACTCCTACTTAGAGACACGACTACTTCGATTTACAGCATCAAGTGATTTAACAAGTTATTGGATAGCTCTAAACGGTATTAAGCCGATCGCAATCTGAGGCTTCTAACTGTCCATTCGGGTGTTGCTACCCTTCACGGTCTTTTGGGCTATTCCTGGAAAACATCTTTCCTATTTAACAGAAATTTGTAGACTCCTAAACCAGTTTTACACAAGAGAATTAACATTGGGCGCCAAAATTAAACACTGCTAAAGGCCCCGTCATGTGGCCTTGTACCACACTGCAGCCGTTGCGTTGAAGTAGCCACGATCACGTTGACATCAGAGATATTGAGAAGACCAGATGTGGTGGAGACAATCGTCTAATTGAAAACTCAACCCAATTGTTTTTTAAGGGACTGTAAATACAAAATTCGTGTCTAATTAAAATGGGACGTGTTTATCAATGCAGCCTGGGTGAACCTGTAAAAGTACAAATGGCTGAATGGCCAGATGAGGAGGAAGCGGATAGCGGGGGTGGTAGGTGCACGGGGATGCGTGAGCAGACGGTCCCGCATGGCTGACTGGCACGCTGTGAAAAGGGCAACAATGAGGTTGAGAATGCGATGACCGGATTAGGGGATGGTCACTACAACAAGCAAGTACTTTAGCGTGTCTAGGTGATCGGTGATTGAGTCTAGGTCACCATGGTTGTGTATAAGTAAACTATTCGTTTTAGTAGATTGTGTGTTGCTGTCAATTTCATGCATCTACATTAAACGACGATTTGGTAAAACATTAGGCATGCAACAAAGCAGTTTCGAATCTGCATGGGTTAGTCGATAATAGGCAGTAAAGTGCGACACACAGATGCGAGTGTGTCAAGGATGCCTATCAGTTTAAATTTTTCATTTGTTTGACCCTTAAACCCTATCAATACCCAAGTCATTAATTCATTTTATGGAGGCTTTAAAACATGTTCTCCACTGATAATGTCACTTGATTAAATAAAGTATTATTATCCGATCAGATGGAAGCCAAAGCTCGAGTCCTATGCTTGGAAGGCTTGTCCCTTACTAATCCCAACATTTCTCTTGGTTTAAGGGCTCCCAAGGTGTTATAGGACCCCCAGGATATGCTGGAGCACCCGGTCCTAAAGGCGCTGTTGGTCCGGTTGGACCACTTGGACGCGATGGCGAAAAAGGTGACTCTGGCCCCATCGGACCAATGGGAATGCGAGGTCCTGTGGGACCAGTAGGACCTGTAGGCCCACGAGGAGCGCCTGGTCCGTCAGGACCACCTGGAGAACGCGGTGACGAAGGCCCAGCAGGTCCGATTGGACCTGCAGGACCCACTGGACCATCGGGACCACGCGGTCCTCTTGGCTTCACTGGACCAATGGGACCTACGGTATGCTTATCTTAGGATCGAGTCTGAAATATACACCTTCATCCACTACGAAGATACTTTTACCTAACTTGCACATGTTTCGTTAGAGGTGCATTCAAGTTGTCATATAAGGGTCACAAATGCGGGAAATAGGCAACGGACGATTCAAAAGTTCAGCCGGTTAGATTTTGATTGCGAGCAAGTCACATTTGTCTGCATTTGTAATGTTTAACTATCTGATATTCTGCTAGATTTAGGCCTTGAACAATGCCTAATTCATATGGGTAAAAAATGGCCAAATGACCGCTCGTTACTTCAATAAAGGTCTTGTTACTGTTTTCCTAGGGTCTACCAGGTGTTCACGGTCCCCCGGGTGACATCGGTGAACGAGGTGAGACTGGTGAACGAGGACCTCCCGGTGAAGTCGGGCCCATCGGCCTACCCGGTCCTACCGGTCCCACGGGCGATCAGGGTCCAGCTGGAGAACCTGGACCTCGCGGTCCCCGTGGACCCGTGGGGCCTGCGGGCAAACCCGGAAAGGAGGGAAGTGAGGGAGAACCGGTAAGTTCAACGCGGCTCTAAAACACCCCCATAGACGCGCAATCCATGACACTTGTAACTTCCTTACTAAGAACAGTGAAATCGAATAGTAATGTGAACCCTGGACACTCAATTCACTTGTTGTAGCTTGCCTGTTTCTTCACTGAGGCTGCAATGCTTTTCCACATTTTTCAAGGGTGACAAAGGTGACCAGGGTCCTCCTGGCCCCCCCGGACCTATCGGACCAAGTGGATTCCGTGGAGCCCGCGGAACGCCTGGTTTACGCGGCAAAGTGGGTCCGAAAGGGGACGCAGGCAAGCCTGGTCTTCCTGGACGAACGGGCGATAGAGGAGACCGCGGTGATCCCGGTCCTAGGGGTTCCCCAGGTCCAGCTGGACCACAGGGTGCTCGTGGACCAGATGGACTTCAGGGAGAAGCTGGGTCAGTAGTGCGTTGATTGTCATGCCAATGCCGTTGACTTCATCGCGTCCTTAACTTAGCACTACTTTCTGGAAATTGTACTTCACTGACAAATCGCAATGTTTTGAAATCTTTCCGAAACTGATTCAAAATGCATCGTGCGTCTTTATGTCTACAAAGACGGTTTCTTTATTATGACCAAATGTATACCATGTCAGTGGAACTGTATCGTCCGACAAACATTAAGCGGAGAATGAACACTGCTATCTACATTTTCCTGGTTTTCGCAGAATTTCTGATTCGATATATCGTGCAATTATCGTTTTAATGAGTATAAACAAATCTATTTCGTTGAATTCAATGTCAAGTTAAACTCTGTCAAAGACCTTCATTAGTCCAACAGCTGTCGTTAAGCCGCGGCATAAAGACACATTACTGCAACGCCCATTAACCAATTACTTTGCAGACAAGTTAGAATGTTGACAATTTTTTTAGCCAATCACATTCTTAACAGTGTTGTGTTTCTTTCATGTCCTCCAGAGACAAGGGTGACCAGGGCGTCACGGGCCCAATAGGTCTGACAGGACCGAAGGGTGTTCGTGGACCCCGTGGAAAACCCGGACCCCTGGGACCCCCCGGTGTTGATGGACAAAAGGGCGACGAAGGTCCGAGGGGCGAAGTCGGCGCAAAGGGAGATCGTGGTCCAGCTGTAGGTTCCTGAACCTCGTCTTAACCACTTGCCTATTCTATTCATCAAAATCGCATGCATCTGTTTTAGTCCTATCCAAATTTGGTTGTAAAGTTTGAGATTTTTGATCGGAAGCTCTAAGCTGAGCACCATTTTTAACGGACAAAATTGGGTAAGACGTACATCTTCTCCAGATTTGAGAAAATTTGAAATTACTTAAATATGTTGGTTTTACAAAGAGACCGCATTGATTTGTTTTGTGGGTAATTGACCGAATTCCCCTCAGACCCTTTGTGTGGTCTGTTAAAATAGGCGCGGCAAATAGCCTAGTGTCATACAACTCAGTGCTTAGAAGAGGACAGAGAGGTAGATGAGGTTGCGCAATTTGCCTTCATTGATTCCACTGGTACCCGACTTGGTTCCGATTCTGAAGATCCAGCTCCCTATGGAACCCCCTGTTTTCTATGAGTAAACTGACTTTCAGGGTTGCCTCTCTCCGTTACAGGGTGAACAGGGTCCTCAAGGAGCCCAAGGCATGATGGGCCCCCCAGGCGTTGCCGGGTCTCCAGGCGAACCCGGAGAACCAGGGGAGGTTGGTCTCCAGGGTCCAAAGGGTGCCCCTGGCAAAAGGGGTCCCGTGGGTCCCCCTGGCCCCAGAGGTCCTCCTGTGAGTTGTCTGCTCTGGTTTGCTACTAGCCCTTGATGACTTGATAACTTGTTTTTGCATAGTACTCGGTGGCAACACACATCCGAATTTCAAAGCCTTCGTATGTACTGAATCGCCATCGCATATTTCGGTTTATCTTTAAAATTGTTCTTTCCGCACATTTTTAGATTAAAGACGAATAATCTTGAGGAAAACAAATCAAATTTTTGCAAATATTTTGAGATGCCTAGAAGTCTGGTTCGAAGATGTATTCTAAGCAGAAACACTAGGTCCTAAAAAAATACCACGTCATACTGCCAAATCTTGAGGCGCTGATTACCATCCCACATTCCTTTTACTTTCGTAAATGTCATAACCGAAGCAAACAGGTACAAATTACTTCAGTTAACCAACCAAATCTCCGACCCATATAAGTCTTAATTAAATACTCCCACGAAACCACCTGCCCTTGCAATTTTACCTTTTCGATCACTAAAAGTGTGTCCACCATTGTAGGGTCCCTCAGGTCCTGTAGGGCCACGTGGCGAGCAGGGCGAGAAGGGGTCCCTGGGGGCTCCAGGCATTCGTGGTCCTCCCGGTCCAGCTGGTCCAGCAGGTGCTGCTGGTGTGAGGGGTCCCACCGGCCCCACGGGGCCTATGGGCCATCCTGGGACTAAGGGTGAGACCGGTATCATCGGTCTCCGTGGTGAGAAGGGCAAGAAGGGTTCGGAGGGGGCTGTTGGCATCCCCGGTGTCAAAGGCACTCGCGGCAAGAGAGGCCCTCAAGGTCCCACTGGTCCTGTTGGAATGACCGGCCCGCCTGGTCCTCCTGGCGAATTGGTAAGGAGCTTTTGTTTTTTTTCTGTCACCTAGACTCTAAGTGTTGCGCTATGACGAGTTCTCATCAAACATTTTCTGCTGTTTGCCGAATTTTGCCTTATCTGCTGTAAATGCAAAGTAAATGTAAATTACTAACTTTGTTGAAGTACTCGAAATTTCGAGCAATTTGGATCATGCCTACACGTATAAAAGTTCATCTTAACTTTTAGCCTAGAGGTAGTTAAGAATAGCTTTACAAGGCCTTGGGTATTTTTCCAAAAGCTTTTCAATCGTAGTTTCGTTTGCAGTTTCTTTAGCCTTGTATTTCTTTAAAATTCAGGTGAAAATTGGCGGAATGCAGTGATAATTCAGTAACCCACCTAATAAAACTCATCCAAACTACGTGGTAACATATTCCAATCCATCATCATGCAAAAAACCTAACCTGAATACTCGGATTTTCCGTGTTTCTTTGTTAGACCAACAGGCCATGTTTTTGTCGGGTGTAATTTAGGATCTCCTTTGAGAAAATGAGAGATACTGACGCGGAAGTTGATGCATTAAAGTCACGTCTAGTCTAGGAATTTGAGTTGACTAAATGATAGGCATCCCCGCAAAGAAATCGAAGTGTCGTACCAATAGTGCATAGTGAAAGCATAAATTTTCCTGCTTTTTACCGCTATTTCTCTTAAGCGGGTTCGAAGTTGTGTTTATGGCTTACGTTTGCTCCACACAGTAGTGTTAACTTTATCGTGAATAAGAGGCGTTCGCATTGTTTACGCCAGAGTGCAACAACAAATACCCAGGCTGCATTGCAAGTGGATTATAATTTTGAAGACATAATTTGCATATTTATACGCTCTAACTTATATCTACAGGGTCCCATGGGTCCTAAAGGTTCGATCGGGCCCATTGGCGCAAGCGGTGAGCGTGGCGTTCCCGGTCCTGCGGGCAAAGATGGTCCCCCTGGAGCCCAAGGCCCTGACGGACCAATGGGGGAGGAAGGCCCCCCAGGTCCCACTGGACTGGTTGGAGAACCTGGCGTTCAGGGTCCAGTCGGTGCGGAAGGTGAAGTAGGACCTGCTGGAGACACTGGAAGCCGTGGGAAGCCAGGAAGTCGGGGTCCTCGCGGACCTAGGGGTCCCCCTGGCCTGACGGGACCTGTGGGTCAAAATGGAGATCGTGGACCCGCAGGTGAACAGGTAGGTCATAAGTCAATTGCCTTAGGCGATATTATGCTGACCAATCATTCCCATACCAATTCATCTAGCCAAACCTGCAGTAATGACAAGTGGTTTTCGAAGTCCAGAAAAATATTATATTTGCCTGAATACTTATTCTGAATTCTTGATTTTAGGGTGCACAAGGGCCTACAGGCAGTCCGGGTAAAAAAGGCAAACGAGGTCCAAAGGTTAGTCATTTGCTGTTTACTTTTGCAATTTCTATTAAGTCAAAACTTACCGGCGTCTTTTTCCCACTAAATTTTAAAATGTCTGAAGCTCCAACAACAGTAGTTTTGACATGTTAACACTATTTGGATCCTCAAATCCATAGACTCGAAAGAGATCACTTAACTGGTTCTGGCGTCTTTATTCAGGGTCCAACGGGATCGATTGGCACCAAAGGTGACACGGGTGAACGCGGGATCCGCGGGCACCCTGGTCTGGTCGGTCCAGAGGGTCCGAAAGGCGAGCCGGGGAGTCCTGGAGATCGCGGTCCCGACGGGAAGCAAGGCGAACAGGGACCGATGGGAGACGAGGGTCGAAAAGGCGAGAGAGGACCTCCCGGAGATGATGGAGAACAGGGTCCAATGGGTCCCACGGGACCGCCAGGTCCTTCTGGCCCGCAAGGTAGGTTGCTACAGCGCTGCCACTGAAACGAGCATGGAACTCATTAAGCACGAAGTGACACGGCACTAGAGTGACATGAGCCACCTAAGAGTGAGGAAAAGCTCTTTGTAAGTTAACTTGCCACTGCTGCGAGGGGTTGTAACTGTAGCTTGTTTATGACATCTTAATATTTTTTGCATTCTTGTACACGTGTTTTATCCTCACCATCCTTAAGAATTAATGACCTTGTTGCAGAACCTGAAGTAGGAGCATTAACAAGCATCAAACTGGAATCAGTTCATTTTCCGAAGTCCGCGAAATATACAACTTGTTGATTTTAATAATTTTAAGATATCTGATCGTAGTTGTAAATAACTGTGTCAGGTTTTAGAGGATCCCATGTATCCCATAAATCTGACACCGCCTTTTTATGAAGGAAATGACAATGGGTATTTTTGGACTGATGGTCGAATTTACTAGTTAATTATGTGTCCTGCCACTAATTGGTGCCTTGTTCCTCTTACACTTCGGTCATTTGTATGACTGTTACCAACTGCAATGTTGATGAACCTGTGCTGTTGGTATGGCAGTCTCTTTTCTTGGTAAACAATGCCTTTTACTAGTAGAAACCCCAGAGACACCCTGTTACCTCACTTTAAAAGAAAGTAAATCTAAAATAATGTGCTACTGAACGATCTCTATCGTCCCGTATTCGGCAAAAAATTTAAAAATGTGTTGGTGTCCGTTATTCATTTGGCATGTGACTACATAATTGGTAAACTCGTGAAATGCCATACTAACTGTTCGTATTATCGTCACCGCAGTGGCCTTGGAAGTACCCTATCCATAGCACGGTTGTTTTCGCACTGAAAAGTATGGAGATCATCTAAATGTTGACCTTGTATTTGAAGTCTTGCTGACTGCTCCGTTTAATTGCACTCCTCTTCTGCACCCCTCCTTTTTTCGTGCCTTCCTTAATGGCATTAAAGGTCCACGTGGAGAGAAAGGTCCTGTTGGCGATCCTGGACCCCAAGGTCCACCAGGTCCCGCTGGTCAAGTAAAGATCCTCAACGCTCCCAACTCCGTTGAAGACTCTTTCGGACGTCGACGGCGTCAGGCCCCCGATCCAACTCAGGGTAAGTTTGGTGATCCCCTACCAATCGATTTTAATTGCTTCGAAGACACCCTCATGAAAGTAACTCTGTTTGGCCGGCTTTGAAGCTAATTTAAATGCAGGAATCGCATTTAAGTTAGCGGAGTACATAAACGCATTCAAGTCTGCTCTCGAGTAATCGCTTTTTTCACTAGTCTGTTAAAACCGCGTCATAAATCACATATGAGCTAATCCATCTTACTCAAGTGATTTCCAAATCGTTTTGCTTTGGCTTCGTGACCAAAGGCTTTACTTAAGAACTTCGACGAGAAAGCCCTTTGCATTTTGAAAGCATATGTTGTGAGCTTCGACTCAGCGTCTTCTAGATGAAACCACAAAGTATTTAAATGTGGACCTAAAACTGAGATCGAATGAAGAGTTAATAGGCTCCAAAATCCCGGTAAAAATGGCGATCTGTTTCTTCCAACATAAATGAAAGAAGCTTACTTGCCATTTAAAATATAATATTTCTTCTCCCTAAGGCAGCACTGAAACTTAGAGATAATTAAGAGAAATCAAGGAGAATGCTTCTTGAAACTCGACAGAAAGTGATGCCAGCGAATTCAAAAGGAACTCAACGCAGTAATCACCACCTAGCTAAGTGATGCACGACAAAAGCAAGGGGAACAAAGGAGATGGCTTGTGATATTTTAATCAAAGCTATTGGTGACATTGTTTCAATTAAATTTTAGTGATTACTCTTGAGGAGTTGAACAGAGCTCTGTTTGAAAGAATTGACAAACTCTGGAAAGAGGCACAACGCCTGCTGAAGCCTTCAGGTAACAGCCAGGAATACCCCGCTCCCAGCTGCAAGGACATTAAGTTGACCAACAAGTTCGCCCGTAATGACACGTACGTCCAAACTGATTGTCTTTACCCACACCATTTTGCATTCACACATCAGACAGCGATGTTTCAATGAAACAAGCAACGGAGTTTGCAATTCACTGAACCTTGTTCTATTCTGTGTGCAGTTTCTACCAAAACATTTCCGCATTCTTGAAAATCGACTTCCGTGTTCGTTTGGTCTCTCGCTACCGTCCTTCTAAACTGTAATGAGTGCTTCTTTTAACTGGGTGGTATTGCAAATAATGAATGCCTTTGAGTTCTTGTGAGCGAACTATCCACAATTGGAGTTTCCTATTCCCCTGCTTGGAGTCCGTTTCATGTTCTAGCATGCATCCATTTTGGCACCCACAAAAGCTTTAGTTTCAGCACATTTGTCCATGTCAAGGTTATCTGATTAATCGTTTAGACCACGTTGAACATGATAACGAAAGTAACTTGTGAGAATAACATGTTGCTATTCAAAGAATAAGAAACGTGCTGGACAATTCTGCCAATGTCCTTTGCCTTCAAACCCCTTGGGGTTTGGTTTTTTGCTCTGTTGCTCTAATTGACGATGAGGATTACATTTTCGGAATGTAGAAAACCCTGAAAATGGTGATATAAGCAAATGACACACTCAGGAATCCCAATTACATTTGCTCCAATCTTTTAATTGTTTTTGCTGAATCCAAAAGTTGTTCGTCTAATTAGTCCTGGCCTCTGTTTAGTGCCTCTTTAATTCTGGCGGTCGTCGTCGTGATCTTTGATCTCAAAGCATCGATCCTAGTCTAACTACGTACGTAAAATGGATTTCCATTTCAGCTACTGGATCGATCCAAACGGAGGCTCAACTTTGGACTCTGTCAAAGCGGAGTGCATCTTCCACGATGACGGATCTGTTGAAACATGTCTCTCAACGGGAGTTGCATCCGTGAGTTATATCAGTTTGGCTTCGGTTGACATTGAAATTTTGTAGTCTGCAATAAAATTCAGCTCACCACCATTCAGTGATTTCTCGTGTACATGGTTTTTGTGGCCATGTCGACCAGGCGATTTCGTGAGTAGTTATGACTGGTGATTTCCCGGGAAAGAAAAGCACAGGCGTTCTGATTTGTACAAAGATGGCTTGGTTTTAGTAAACTCTTCAAAAATTTATATCGAATGGCTGGAATAGCTGGTCTTGTTCTCACAGTTTAAAAATAAAGAGTAGCTGACACGAAAGTCCTTAGAAGTCTCCATATCAACCGCTTTGGGCTGCCTTTCCGGTTTATATAGGTTTTACTGCCAAACATCCACTGGATCCGAGTTAATCGGAGATGAGCCACGGACTCTTTCAGTGGGATGTCACCAGAACTCCTAGAAATTTTGGTTGTCACAAGCAGCAAACTAGTAACAATCTGATTGACAACGTTACTGTTAGCAAGGAGTCTTATTGGTCCACGCTTTATAGGAAAATCTCGCAACCTACAAGAGGCCAGGATCGAGTGATTCCGACTTCTGGCAGAGCCGTCTTCTCGTCGAAAATGCCGTTAGCCCGCCTGACGTAGGTTCCTCGTCTTCGATGTGGTGTCCGCACGCATGGGGGGTTTATTCTGACCACAAAATTTGTTGCCTTTAGCTCCACGACCAGAGCCCACATACCCAGATGAACCTGCTGCGCAGCCAACACCGTTTTGCTACTCAGGAGCTGGAGTTCTTCTGCGAGGGAACCACAATCTTCGGTGGTGATATGGATTGGGAAACTGGTGAAGTCGACATGTCCAAGGCCACCTCCTTGTTGACTCACAATGGCCGTGTTATTGATCTCACTAAGGGCACTCGCCACGGCCCCAGCCATAGCCACATGGAGAAGATTGATTTTGTAAATTCGCTCCGTCGAAACGACGTCACAGTCACCGTTGACTATGATGGGTGTAGGGTAAGTGATAAGGTCTACTAATAATTTTCAAGTAGAGCTTCCATGCTTAAACATCCACGCCTCCTCTTTGCAGCACCGCCAACCCGGAACATCCACGAAGATGCGGATTGAAACTCGCGATCCTCAGCTGCTTCCAATTATTGATTTTACCGTGCGTGACTTCGATAGTAATGGAAGAAGCACTCTTAGTCTCGAGGTGAAGGCCGTTTGCTTCAAAAACTAATCAAAATCGACCACCAATTTTAATCACATCATCAGCAGCTGCATAGCGACCACCTACGTCGTCGAACAGAAACGGCAACTTTCAACTTTCTATCGGCTTTACTCAACCTCTTCACCCTACGGAATCCCCTCCATTTATTATTTTGCGAAGGATCTGTGTTGAGAAATCACTGTGCTCCTTGTGTTTACAATGTAAGAGAGTATTTGTGAAAAAAACACGACGTGATTGACTGTTGCACCGGGGTTCACCTTGAAACATTGAAAAGGCGGTCTAAAGCAATCTGAGCTCTAGCTGAGGGATTCTCTGCTGGTTTAATGTACGAGGCTTTGTCAGCGTGTACCACACTCGATCAGAGCGTTAAACAGACTAGCGCGTCACCGTCACAAGTCACTGAAGTTTGTGCGCGCCTAGCCCAGTCTTTCTTTCTCCCATCTAAGAAACTAAAATGTGCCATATCTGCACCAGATGTTAGCAGGCGGTGAGTCAGACTTGTAGTACAACCCTAGCATCCTGAATTTCTTAATTGCTCTCAGTACAACCCTAAAATTTTTCCACTTTGGTGTCGCAGAATCTCAAGCAGCCTGCATTCCAAGCTGATGGGTGACCTTATTTACGGAGCCCTTGGGTAACACCCAAAATTCCTGATAATGAGTCTCTTTTTATCGTTACGAGGGATTGTGAAGGTGCCATTTCCTCGGATTAGCTTTCGCACTGCCATTTTACCATAAAAAGATAGAACTTGCGCCGCAAAAGCTGAAGAGAGTCGCTTTTTCATCTAATTGGTTTTTTTTTCACCTCAAAACTCCAAAACCACGCCAAATGATTGTTGGTTTTGCTGACAAGGAACCTATTGCGCTACCATTTTGTCTTACAACTGTCGACTTTCGATTGGTAGGTCGCCAAGTGGAAGATCTAGTCCATAAAATATTACAATTTTCTCAAAATGAATCCAAATTATTGGGAAAATACTGCTCTAGAAATTTGACTTTTTTTGAAATCGCATGTTTATACAAGAAAATCAGTCATTTGTTCTGGTCGGAAAACTGCAGAGACCTTGATAGCCATTATCGCCACTCTCCCAGCAAAAGTATTCAAGCGATAAGGCGCTGTCAGTCGCTGGCTATGATTGAACTATTGTGAAGTTAGTTATGGCGAGTCCAGCTCGACACCTCGTTACATGATCAATATTCTTTAAGCCTTGTTCATCCACCGTCATCTTTTCACATAAACCAGCCTACTTGAGCTTACGCACAAGGTTGTATAGGCGATGGAGTTAAAATTACTCCGAAGAGTAACGTGGTGCGTCAGCTCAACAGCGTTTACGTCATGAAGTGAGCAATGACCTTCAACGCAGTTGTACTAGAAGTTGTTAAAAAAGCAAATATTAACTGCTGAGTCACAGGTCAGCTGTCAACCTAAATTTGCCCAGCTTGACTGGCTCCGATTTTAACATGGCCGTCGGGACGACACCAAGTAAATTTACAGTTACCAGTCACAATGTCAATATGTTTCGTGATAGCCGATGTCGTCAAGGTATGTTTGCATTGGGTGGACGACCACAGACAAGCAGCACTACGCATGATTGAAGCATTGACAGTTCAACGTGTGAGTTGGACAAAAGGCAGAATTCAGCTGCCGCATTTGATGGATCATCCACCTCGGCGCCTTAGAGAAAGGCTTCAAACTGACTCGCGAACCTTATTCAAAAATGTGCCAGCAGCCACAATTCGGTGACATTTCGCAACATAGCCCACTGATATTTAGTTGCGGGGTAACAGCATGCCCCCAAGCCGTCCCACGTGTGCGCACAGCACCCGCGTGCCCCGAACCCCCGCCCCAGCAACCACCCCAGCACCACGTTGACCCTGACGGCGAAACTAACGCCGTTTGACAGCCCTTATCACCCGTCTCCACCCTGTTAGCCTCTTAACAGCACCTAACTGCAAAACCAAATTCAATTGGCAACCACTAATTTCTTTTACCCGCATATAACAGGAACTGACTACAAGATTCATAAGCCCCCTTTAGGAAGATCATACTTCATAGAGAATTCTTACACTTTGGGTGGAAGTTTATTATCTCTGGTTTTCTGCAATCAACAACTCTCACGATTAGTGCTATTGGTGACATAACGCTTACTAGCACCGCCGTCACTCCACCACCGTTCATTAAAGGTCCAGGTTTACATTGGTGCATTGTGCAAGTAGTACATACCACACCTCCGCCCCTTTTTATTTCTAACCTAGAAAGGCAGGGAAATTGTCAAAAGTGTTGCATTTTTCCCAAGATTCACACAGCTTATCACCAACATCGAAATGGTAGCTTCGAGGCGTCGAATGAGCAGCATTTCGTGAAGTGTCGATTCACGTAAAGCAGCTTCACACGGTCTGGCCGTAGCTGCCGTAAAAATGGGCGTGTCAGCAGTTCTGTAGTTTACGCGAAGTGGTAGGCGAGAAATGGGTGGCTCCGTTAATGACCGCCAAACTGCGTCATTCGGGAAGTGTAGAGTCTAAATGACAAAAGGTCTGGCATTTGAAAGAATGTGTGGCGGGTAAAAGCCAAAGCCCGTTACTCCTCGTCAAGTTAATGATTTGTTCGTCGTCTACAATATTGTTGTTAAGAATAGCTGCATATTTTGCTCAATGAAATCTTGGTTTCTTTGGAAAAAAACTACTTGTCGTTATCGTTCTCTGGACTTCTAATGTGGAATTTGTCAAAACAGTGGCGCTTCAAATAACACTAACTTGCTGGTTGTAGAAAGACAGCCTGAAATATAGATGTAATGTTCACACGCTCAATTTTGCTGACGGTGCTGAGGGCTTAAATTTCACAACGTTTCCTGTTCGCTTTGACATTCAACGTTCGAATGGCAGCGCCAAGCAAATCACCGGTTTTGGATGGTAATCTTACCATCTGAAGCGCACTTGCAAATGACGGACCGTTTTGTCATTCCAAAAATCACCCATTAACCATAACGAGAACAGATGACATTTTGTTTAGTAAACAAAGGTCTAGCTTAATTCATAAAAAATCCGGTCATCAATTTTAATATCCTGCGGAAAGCATTAGAGACATCTCGAAGTTGTTAGGAGGCGATGTTTCTAGTATTTATATCAGCTGAAAATGACTTGTACCTTGCAAATGTCACCTCAGCGGTTCACCATACTGTTACCGTAATTGCTTGACCGCGTCAGTACGACTTCGGTAACTTTGATGTTTACCATAGCTAACATCTGCTGCCAACAGCAATCACATAACTAATTTCGTTTAGAACGAACTGCCAATCACGTGATTCCACTGCGTCCGCTGATGGCCGAGTTGATCCCACCTAATCGGTTGTGGTGCTCAAATGTAATCTTAGTGTTGCAAACACATGAGTCCAAGCCGCAATGAGTGAGTCGCGCTGTAGGCTTGCCCTTCAAAATCTGTGTACAAGCCTTAGTACTAATTCTTCCAAGTAGCCTTTGTCTGTAAAATTGGCAACCTCCTCCAACAACAGACTACGCTTTTAAACCCAGATGTTTACGTGCATTTTGCACGGTAACGTCTCTCGTATTTGCTTCGGCCCAAACCCTAAACAACCGGAGAAAAATTATCAATTTTATGACAAAGTTGCAAAACCATGCTTATAGCTTAGCGACATGAGCCCAAAAAAAGGTCAAAAGCTTTTTTTAATTCCTAAAATGCGACAACGCTGCGTTTCGGCAAACGTGTCATCGTTAGTCTAGACAAACGCGGCAAAATTTGCCTCTTAATTCTTAGGCGTGGAATTTGGTACTTCGTTGATGCTGTTTCGCTATGAAATTTGATCCCAAATTAAACGAGTGCTGATATTTGGCTTCGTGTGACCTGGTTTACGACCTCGTTGCACGAATCGGACAGTCCTTTTGAACGTCAGTAATTTGGCCAGCTTATTTTCCTAAGTCTTGTACGAAAAAGTATCTGAACGGACGCAGTTTCGTTGTCAAATATTCAACGGTGTGCAGATGAGGACTCCACCGAAAAGAAACCACTCGATGGCATTTATTTGATTGACTTTGCAGGGTGGATCCAGGGTAATGCATCTTGCCATTAGGTCCCGTAAATTTCGTCTCATTGTTCTGCTCCGATTCCGTAACCTCCGCGAAATGTACCTCAGACACCAATGTTGGAGTACTTAACTTGAATTTGGTGAGTGAAAGTGTTGGAAGTCTACCTACAACCTCGGAGATATTGCTCACGCATATTATGCAACTTTTCGGCAGAAATTGTGCTTCGACGCTACCAATTCAGCTTGAACTTTCTAACGAATGAAATTGTACTAAATGTTCGGTTATATTTCACTAAATCTACATTAATTTTGTTTACTTTTGAGCTTAGAAAGAGATTTAATCATGTGGATTTCCAAATATTCGAAACAAATTGGCTTTTTCTTGCCAGATGGAGAGTTACATTCCACCCTTACTTCAATCTGCGTCCACGACACCGCTCTACCGTCAAAGCCACGGTGCTCGCCGTTGTCATAGCAACATTAAATGACGAACAGGTGTCACTGTTTGGTTCATTAGTCAGTTTCCAACGGGTTACATCGTGACCATGCGTCACTTAACACACACACACTGGCACACTCGCATTTTACGGCCAACCTAAATATAAGCAACGCTAAACGCTTCACCCATCGCAAGGATGGAGTGAAAAACATAAACCATCACCTTCGATATTTACTACACCTGTAGGTGGAAGGGGGAGTGGCTGTTATTAAACGTCCAAGAGTGATCCGATCACATGGCGTCGTTCCACGTCTGTGACGTCAACCCTCGGATTGAGCCTCGCTAAAGAATATGCAGGAGTGAATTAGTAATATTGATGCTTTGTTAACCATTGCAAAAACAAACGAATTCTTGTTACAAATGGCATTTGTTTTAAGTCCGATATCTGAGAGCCTCCTACAAGACAACAGCTGGCTCTTGGTGACCCCATGACCGTCATCTCGTCCGCGACCTCACAGTTGTACCAGGACC